TGCACAAAGTCTTTTGTCTTCTGGTGGCTCATCTGATGTTGATGGGCCTTATTGTGCTGGGCAAGAGATAAACATCTCCTGTTGGAAACTAGTATTTCACACTTGTTAATGCATCTGTCCTGTCTGGTGACTTACAGTTAAAGAGCAAACACTTAAATATTACCTTATAACGTGGGATGTAGGTATTATCAGTCAGATTAATGCATGCAACAAATTGCAAGCATTTCATAAAGTCTAGACGCATTTTTATAACTCTGATATCTGTTTTAACAACACTAACACATAGGTGAACCAGACTGATTCCAGCTATGTATTTGTCAGTGTTCAGTTGAAACCTAGGGGCCTTGGCATGAGCTGGCTTGTAGCTTCTGCACTTCCACATTCTGGGAGGTGACAACTCCAGTGACTTGTCCAGAAGTCAATACATCTTGCTCAGAAGGCAGTATTCTCTTTTCTGCCCAATCATTTGCATGCAAGATTTCAATTGTTATATCTTTTCCATAGATTAATTTACCATTGGTAATTCTGGAAGGGTATGAACTGGAGCCCTCATATCCTTGATAATTTTTCTACAAAAGAGAGAGGAGGGGTTTTGTTTGTTTCCTTGAAATACAGAATAGTTTGAACCCTAGCTACAGGAGAGTCAAGTTGGATTCTTAACAACCTGGGTGTCTTGTGGGAGCAGGCCAGTATTGCAGAATTGTGTACTGTACTGTAAGACTGTGCTCATGGATGTTGCTTAAGACATTTAGTTGACTTGATGAATTATTGAAGTTGACATATAGTCTGTGCCTTGGCAGATGGGAAGATGATAGTTTGATTGATGATTTGGAAGCCGATGGTGTTTTCAGATTTCTGCATGATACAGTAACTCTGGTTTTGAAGAAAGAGAGGGAAGGGGTTTTATTGATGAGATATCCTCCCCATCCTGACAGGTATGCAGACATAGCCCTGATCTTGCAAAGGCTTATGCATATACCTATCTTTACAGATGTGAGTAGTCCTGTTGTAAACAATAGGACTATTCAGGTGCTTTAAATTAAGCACATATGGAAGCATTTGCTGGGTTTGGGTCCAATTCCCTGAAACATCATAGTGCAGGCTTTTTTTGGCTCCTCACAGGTTGAAATTGATCAAATATTTACTAAATAATTTTTGCTGCTGATTGTCATTAACTCTGTATATTTAGTTCAGCCTTGTTATGAATACATGGTATTACATACAAAAATTTCTGTTAAATTACCATTATTTAGGTTGCAAAGTCAAGCACTGGGAAGTTAGAACATGCCAAATTTACAGTTGCCTGTGCCACCCTAAATCATCTTTCTTGTGCACCCAGCCTGTGCATTGAATGAGGCAGGGGTCCTGTGGGGAAAAATAGTATATCATTCTGTAATCAAAATCACAGTACATACAAGGAGCATGGCATGCATGGGCAACCATAATTCTGGCATTTCCTAACTATTGAGAATGTTGCAAGCAAAATAAGGTTCTGTTAATGTCGTTTTTTGTATGTCATTGCCTAGGAGTTTTTCAAGGACAAAGGTGAAAACAAATTATGTTATGTGCAACTGTAATAATACTCCCCTTCATATATCATCCACTGGGCTTGAACTCTGAGCCTTAAACCCTATAGCACGGATTACTACAACCTGAGGTAGAGAGCTAACCACATTAGCTGGCTACAGGAGAGTAGAGTGTTATCCTAGAATATGAGGATGGGATGCTGTTGCCCTGTGCTGGGTCCAGGAGAGGAGGAGGGGAGTCTAGCCTGGCCTCTCTTCCTCCTGCCAGAGAGAAAGAGAGACAGAAATACTGGGATCATGTGCCAGGTTGGGAAGTGGAAAAGAGATTTTGGGGGAAGTTTAGCTTGGCGCTCTCTCACATTGCCCTGCCATCCCTAGCCACAGCTTCTGGCAGCTCCCAGACATTCCCAGTAGAGTGTCTGCTGTTGCCTTGGCAGAAACATAGGCCAGTCTCTTTAAAATGTTCAGTGATTTTTGGCAGGCTGACAGAATTTTGTGGTGTGTGGGGGAATAGTGATTTTTAACACTTTTCAACTCTATTAAATCCAAATGGAATGACATGGGACAAAGAAAAGTGTCTGTAGTGTATGGGGTTTTCCTTGCAGGATATCATATGTCTGCTGCAAACAATGGCGGTATTAATACTTATGAAAGAAAAGTCACAATACTGCTTTATAGTGGAAAGTGTAAGACAACACTTTTCTGAGGTGTTTCCCACTTAAACCATAACCACCCTCCTTTCTTTGGTCTTTATAGCATTGGTTTTGTCTATCTTATGCTGTTATAATAGTTTAGTCTGTTTTGAACAGTGCAGTGCCCTGCGCATGCCCCTAAAAAAAGGGATGCTTTCTAAATACCTTTTATTATTATTTAATGGGAGGAGGAGGGTTATCTCTTTAAGGTTTTAAATCTTTGCAATTCAGCACGAAAACTCAAGTAATTTCTCAACAGGGCTAGATTAAATATGGCTGCAGAGGCTTTTGTGTAATATGCTCCAAAAAAATTAGCTTGTTAGTTGAGGTACATTGTCTGATGTGGTTCAGTAAAGCAAAGCACAATAGTTTAGAATGGTGTTGATATGCCAGGATATTGCCACAGCTGATCAAGCAGAGTGCAAGAATTTCTAGTGCTGTTTTATAATCATGGATTTCACAGCATGCTTTCAAAACCCTGATTGGATTTGCTTTAATGGCTTTGTCTCATCTTAGATATTGCCTTTTTATTTATAAGAAAATAACTGATAACTGAATAACTTCACTCATAGCAGAAGGCACTACCCAGATCTGTTCTGTATTTTAGAATACGTGTGCTAGTCCTTGAAGTTAATACTTTTACTTGGCCCTGATTCTGCAAACTGCTCCACATGGGTGGACCCTGAACCTGTGCAGACCTCTGCTGACTTCCACTGGGCTCTGCTTAGGTGCTGTGACCTGCTCGTGCAAAGCAGTTTGCAGAATCAGGGCCTTATTTATGTATACAACTCAGTGAAAACATTGGGTGCTCTTCCAAGGATAAGCTTGTTAAGAGGCCTCATACATCACTACTTTACAAGACATCAAAGGAATAGTATTGATTGGAGTAAATACTCAGTAAATAGTAAAGCCATGGAATGTAAAGTAGATGGCTTTCAGTAGTATTTTAAATTCATATAAACACAGATTTTAGCCTTTAAATCAGCACTCCATTAGAGTAGGCCCTAATCCTGCAATGAGCTGCACACAGGGATCCATTCTCTTTGCAGTGTTGGGGGCATAGTCATTACCAGGGATCTCGGGGAGGAGGGAAGAGGAAGGGAGACTGAGTGTTTCTAATCAGAAACTCTACGATAGAGTTATGGTTTAAATCCATATCCATTCATTTAAAACAGCTCTGCTAGAATGTTGCCGTTATAACAAGATACAAAATATCTGGAATTGTAGGTAAAAAAACAAAAATGCTTGAAAGGTGGGACATTAGAAGGTTGTAGTTTTTAAAAAACACTCCAAAGTTTCAGAAAGTCTAGAAATACATACTTACTGTTCCAGTACCAGCCAGAGCTAATAAAAGTGTTTGGGTGACTGGGGGACCCTAAATGCTTACAAACGTGGTGCCTACAAACCCTTCAGGGCTGGACCAGCAAGCTTGATTAATGTGCAGGCCCCCTCACGAGATAAAATTCATGATGGTTTTATGTAACAGTTCATTTTTTCCATAGCTAATAATTTTTCAGAGATAGCATAGTTAAATATACCCTTTTCCCTCAGTTCACCTTGAGGCCTGATGAATGCAACCTATTTGGAGGTTTTAGTCCAGTTTTACTTTTGAGATGCTGGGTCATAAGGGAGCTTCACTAATTTACATCAGCTAAAGATTTGGCCCACTGTGTGCACTAGCAAAAAAGGATTAGACTTTCCAATATGGGACTCCTTGTCATCAGCCTCCCTCTGAGGGGAAAGGCATTGAAGAGTGTCTTCATACTGATGGAATGACTGGGGGTCAGCTTGCCATGTCTAGTCTAATTCTAGTCAGCCAGTCTGCTGGGGGTGGAGAAATTTGCAGTTGGCAGGGACTGTTGACTAAGTGGCAAAGGTTAGTGACTGTGTGCTGAGGGGGCAGCACATTATGAGAAAAGAAAAACAAAGGTGGGTGGAAGGCTGCAGAAAAAGGTAGTTGAAGGTTTGCCTGGATTGTGTTTGCTGCCCTTTCAATCCTGCTACTGTATGGTCTGCCTACACTACAGGGCCAGCTGCACCTCAGAGTTCCCATCCGTAAGGTGGGTAAACAGAAATGCCTACCTCCCAGGATGGTTGTGAGGCTGAATTAGAACTTCAGCACTCTGACAGCCATGCTATACTGTGTGAGTGCTTAGTATTAGGCAAACAATCTTTTTGTTACAGGGCATTTACTTTAAAGTTATTTAACATTTGAAAAAGTAGTAATGTCAGAAATTTAGGTCAATTAATGTGAGTGAAGCTCAGCAGGCACACATCTCCCTTATGCAATCATATTTCTAATTACTGTCTGCATATTTTAAGCATTCTCTAATTCTTTGAAATACAGCTTTATTCAGGGAGTTTGCTGGTTGCTTGTCTTATTTTCTATTATTTTAGAAGCTGAATATGAATCTTTGCAGAAAAGCACACTATTTTCCCTCTTCTTTAGCTGTCTTTATTCTTTAAGTATTTAATAAAATGTTCTTTTAAATTTCCCTCTGCATTTACAATTGCAGTTGGGTTTATGGGTTATGAACGCAATGAGTTTTCAGTGTTCTAACGTTGTAATGAGCTCTTTAGCGAGTAAGCATCAGAGACTGGTAATGTGTTCCATGGATATGCAGTGGTGTCAAGTTAGTGCCGATTTGCTGAGGTAGCTGTTTTGGCTGAGCCACTGATTTTGTTCTCTGAGAACTCAGACATATGCTTCTTACATTAAAGCCAAACTTGCTATTTTTTAAGATGCTGCTATTTCTAATGTGTTAATTCATTTTGTCTGCAGAGACTTTGCTTATGTAGCAAGAGACAAAGACACAAGAATTTTGAAATGTCACGTGTTTCGATGTGATACGCCTGCGAAAGCCATCGCAACAAGTCTGCACGAAATCTGTTCTAAGGCAAGTGGATTATAACAACTCATTCATTAACCTCGTGAATGGTTCTTAGAACTGGTACTATAATCAGCACTCTAAGTTGTGGCCTTATGCTGTTAGTCTGTGGCGCTAACAGTGAGAAATGTTACTCTAAGAGTTTGTAAAGGAAGGGGCTTGAGTGGTGTCAATAAACTATGGGAAGATGAACATTTAGATTTGAAGACCACAGTATCTGTTATAGATTTGACCAATGTGTGTATTAGCTTAAAGACTTTTTTATCTAATAAAGGGGAAGTATGAGGGTGGTCAGTGGGACAGTCGTAATTAAGGTTGCCAGGTATCCAGTTTTCAACCAGGATGCCTGGTCGAAAAGGGACCGTGGTGGCTCCCGCTGACCAGGTGGCTAAAAGTCTGGTCGGCAGCGCAGTGGGACTAAGGCAGGCTCCCTGCCTCCATGCAGCTCCCAGAAGCGGCCGGCATGTTCCTGCAGCCCCTATGCATAGGGGAGGCCACGGGGACTCCGCGCCCTACCCCCACCCTGAGCGCCCTTCCACAGCTCCCATTGGCCACGATTCCTGGCCAATGGGAGCTGCGGGAGTGGCGCCTGTGGGCTCAGGCAGTGCACAGAACCCCACAGCCCCTCTGCCTAGGAGCTGGACATGCCAGCTGCTTCCGGGAGCTGCCTGAGATGAGTGCTGCCCGGCCAGAGCCTGCACACCAAATCCCCTCCCACACTCCAACCCCATGCCAGGTCAGAACCCCCTCCCACACCCAAACTCCCTCCCAGAGCTCAGACCCCCTTCTGACCCAGCTGTGAGCCCCCTCAGGCACCCCAAATCCTTCATCCCCAGCCCCAGCTGGAGTCCACACCCCCTCTCATACCCCAACCCTCTGCCCCAGCCCTGAGCCCCTCCTGCACTCCAAACCCCCTCAGCCTCGGCCCCTCCCCAGAGTCCACACCTCCTCCCGCACCCCAGCCCAAAAGTGAAAGTGAGTGAGGGTGGGGGAGAGCGAGTGACAGAGGGAGAGGGGATGGAGTGAGGGGGGGCGGGGCCTTGGAGAAGGTGCAGGGAAAGGGGTGGGGCCTAAGGGAAGGGGGGCGGGGCAAGGCTGTTCAGTTTTGTGCGTTTACAAAGTTGGCAACCCTAGACTTGTAACAAACATTATTGGAAACAAATTGGAATGGTGAATAGTGTCATGGCTAAATAAAACAGACCTTTTTAGAAATAATGGTATTCTTCTGGCAGGCAATGCGTGAAAAATCTGTTAGTGACACCATCAACTTAAAATATTTTTTTTTCTGAAGTTTTTGTACCTACTTTTGTTTCAAGTAATACATGAGATTCCTGTAACTGAAAGAGATTAGAGATAGACATTTCTTTATCATCAGTTGGTTTCCATTGTGAGTTTGACAAATTCTCTGTTCCCCTGAATGGTCAGTTAATCAGTGCCCTCTGTTTGTGTTGGTCTTTCCTTCAGTAGTAAAGCCTTTTACAAAATAGGAAAATCTGACTGAAAATCTGTAAAAATTGGCAGGGGAACTGAAGCAGGTGTCGTACCTGAGACTATTTTTAACTCTTATTGAAACTCCACTAGTTTTCAAGTTGATCATGTCCCTTAAAAAAAACTTCTTTGATTTGTTTTTTCTTCCGTTTAAAATGTGTCTGTTTAAAGGGATGCTTCCAAAATAAAACACACATTTAGTTGCCTATCTTACTAACAGTACCTGGGGTTATTAAAACTTTAAGTTTTAAAATTCAGGTTACATTTTGTGTCTGGAAGTATGCTTGTGTTTGCTTTGTACATTGTTCTCAGTTTGGAGAATGAAAATCAATGACGTTTGTTTCCTTTTTCTTTATGGTCAATTTAATTGTCTGATTTTTTTTATTTTCGCATTTATTTATTTTGAGTTTTGCAGTCTTTGAGTTACAAACACTGCAAGCATAGTAGACAAATTGGCAGCTTGATTGATCGGTTATGGAACTGGGTGCTGTTATAACTATAGAAGCTAAAATAGAGGTACACTTAATGGTTAGCAAAGGTAAGGTACTGTAAACCACATTCTTCTGTTTGCCCCACTGCAAAATACAAAAGCATCCAAATGAAGCTGGAAGTTAACAAATTAAAATCTGCTAAAAGGAATTATTTTTAACACAATGATAAAATTGTCTTCTGGCAGTGAGTTCCACGGGTTTGTATAAAAGGCTTAAAAGAGAGCTTAGTAGGATTAAAAAAGAATTAGACATTTCTATATGAAAAATTAGAACATCCACAGTTACGTTATGTGGGTTAGAATAGAATTTTCCCCCAGGTCAGATTGACAGTGACCTTGGGGATTTTTTGCCTTCCTCTGGGTGCTTCCTCTCGTCTTCCTCACATCATTGTGGCCTGTGATATACAGGAGGTCAGACTAGATGATCTAGAGGTCTGTTCTGGCCTTTAGCTCTATGACTCCATATAACTTTAAACTTAAGGTTAGGGGTAATACACCTTGCCCTGAGCAGTGGCAGAAGTAGGTCATGGAACTGTACGAAACCTGGCAGTTCTGGCTGGGGTGGGTGCTTGAGGAGCTGCTGGGGAGTAGGTAGTTCCTCGGCTCTGGTGGGCAGGGAGCTGTTCAGGTAGCTGGAGGCTTAGTGCTAGGGCAAACCTGGTGCAGCTGGGTACAGCAAGGACGGGCTAAGAGAGGCTGGAACTGGTAATGGGCCCCTCATCTTGGACACATGGTGGGGGCCTGGTGCATACTAAGCGCGTGACATTCTCAGAGAGTGTCCTGTGGTCCCTTGCTTCACTGATGGACTGTGCATTCTTGGATTTTTCTCCCTGCAGGTTGTAGGATGCATAGCGGAAACCAGTGGAATTCTGGGATTTCAAAAAATCCCCTGATTCCACTCTCTGTCCCATGCTTACTCTCTCTCTGGGTGGGCTAGTGCCATTCTCAAATTGCTGATGGTGAACACAGACCTAAGAATGCTCTGTGCTGCTATGCTGGGCACAGAGGCTGTGTGAGCTTTATTTGAGCTCTTGGAGATGGGGGCTTTGGTTCTGGACTTTGCCTGCTGCACCCCCAAGCAGATGATGAGCTTGCAGCTGCAGGTCTTCGTGCGGCAGTGGCGGAAGGAGGACAAGATGAGGAAGACAAAGACAACACCTGGCAACTGCTACTACAGGAGGTCTTCCTGGAGCAGCTTCTCACAGTGCAGCCCTTTTTCTCGGCTCAGGAGGCCAGCATCAGTTGGTGCAGAGGAGGGTTCTGCAGACCTGGGATGACCAGGATGGCAAAGGCAACTTTCTTTGAAATCTACGCTAAACTAGCCATGGAGCTGCAGCAGCAGAGCACCACCGTGCGTTGCCCCATAGCTGTTGAGAAACGGGTTGCCGTTGCATTTAGCAGTTGGCCATCCCCTAACGTTTTCTGGCCCATAGCCAACCAATTCAGCATAGGGAGATCGACTGTTGGGACCATCGTCAAGCAGGTTGTACTGACAGCACTCATTCCCATTGGTAACAATGGCTGTGCACACAGGGGGTTCCCAAACTCTATTGGGACAACTGGGGGGACCGTCTCCCTAATGTTTGCCAGGACTCAGAGTTTATAAACAGCTGCATATTTTCAGGCCTGACATTCAAAGTAAGAGGAACAGTAGGCATCCCTGACAGCATTGCCCGGGCCATTCCTTTCTATTCCTTAGTGATGACCTTTATCAGCTGTACATCGAGGTGTTATCCTGGGGGTCGGGGGCGGGGGGGAGGATGGATTGTGAGTGTTGCTGTTTGTCTTATGGGTGGTTTTCCTGTGTACCATGCACTGCAGATTCTTTGAGAGTGAATTTTAATGGTTTGTATTATTAAACAACTAGAAATAAACCTGTAATTAAAACAACAAGACACAGCTTTTGAAGTGACACAGTGCAGTGGAGGGCAGCAAACAACAATATGGGGTGGTCCAGTTCACAGACGAGTGTATGTCTTGCCTCTGCCTCTTCTTGTTTGGCTGCCTTCCAGTGTTGAGTGGCTCAAAGGTTTCAGGGGTGTTAGATGGCTTAAAAGAGCTGGGCTCCCAGGGCAGTTTCTCTCACAGCGTGAGCTTGGGCCAGGGAGGGGAATGGCATCTGAGAGCATGGCTACTGAGATGTGGCAGGGAACATACGTAGGTGTTCCCAGTACCCTGTATTGTCCAGGGGTTGCAGAATATGGCTGGGTCTTTGCTGAGGGCACTGCGTTGTATATGTGCCTGCTAGCAGCATGGACTGCAGCCAAACATTCTGCTTCTATATTGCCTCCAGGAGTTGCCTCTGCATGTTCCCGTCTTTCTCTGCAATGTCTCTGGCTACTGCAATGCTCTCTCTGGGTAGCATCCTCTTTCCCTCTCCAACCTCAAATACAACCCCCAGGGCTCCATATTTTTTCAGTTTTGAGGGGGAGTCTGCTATGTAGTCTGTGAACATTGTCTCCTGAGTTCTTCGTTTCTTCCCCCTCAAGTTAGGCAGTCACTCAGCTGTTGATAAAGGCTCTGTCCTTGAGGATCTGGCCACTGCAGGTATCGTGGCTGGGAGAGGAGGGGGGGGGAAACCCAAACAGTTATTGTTCATGTTCCAGAGAGGCTATTAATGCATTTTTTCAACATTTACGTGTTTTCCCCTCTCTGAGATTCTTCCCAGTCTTAGGGGCACTTCAGAGATGGTATGTGCATGGAAGCTAGATTGGGATTTTTGCAACTGGACTTTGGAGGCTGGGGATGGAGTCAGGGGGGAGGTTGGGAATTAAGTTCCTGGTCTGTCTTTGCAATCTAGGCTATGTCTTGAATGTTGGCGCAGGCTGAGAATTATGTTCCCCGTCAGTCTTTGCCTCAAACTTGTAAGACAATTCTGTGAAGCCGGTGAACTAAATCTGGGCATCCACTCTTTAGCAGTTCGGATGAAATATTGTCAGGACTAGGTGCTTTATCATTTCGTAACTGTTTGATGGCAAGTATCTCTTCCTCTAATGTGGTAGGTCTGTTTTCAGATCAGTTCTCTTTTTAGATTAAATTGTAGTCTACATTTTGGGTGGGAATCTCCTCATTAATTTGCAAAAATGTTCACACTCACACACGCATCGATATCCTGCCAGTATTTTCCATTTTTGTCCTTAAGTGGCAGAAGCCGCAAGAATGAGCATCCAGTTATGACCTTCAGTGTCTCAAATACACATTTCTGGTCATGTCTTTCAGAGGTATCGTCTACACACTGCACCATGCTAATCCACCGCTGTTCCACTCGTTCAGAAGATTGGAAAAGGAGCTGTATCATCCCTTTTTTTCAAAAAAGGGAGAGTGTTCAGCCTGCTCAAATTATAGGGGAATAATGCTGCTGTCAGTCCCAGGGAAGGGGTTTAGGATCATTCTACTGAACTGGCTGAAATACCGTATCAGTCCAAAAAGAAGAGGCAAGCAGTGAGATTTCTGTACCGGTCAACCTACCATCCAGACTGTATGTGCTCTGTCGAATGTATTGGAAAATGACACGAGCAACAAAAAGAAGTTAACATCACATTTGTAGATTTTGCAGCCACTTTTGACACAGTGCATCCATCAGCACTGTGGCTACTGCTATGCCAGTATAGGATGCCTAAGGACTTAGTGTGGCAAGTGGAGGAACTGTACCACAGTACATTTAGTGGTATGAGGGTCAATGGTTGTATTATAGACTGATTTGGGGTAGATTCAAGGATACGCCAGGGATGCGTTCTCTTATCCACATTATTTAATGTTCTGATAGACTATCCGATGTCAAAGCTGACTGAGGCCAAAGCAGGAGTTGTGAAATTTTAAAGACTCATCTTCAGAGGATCTCGAGAATGTGGATGATATTGCCTTACTTGGTGAGCCTACTGATCAACTACAACAAATCCTGGAAGAGCTGTGAAAAACTGCAGAATCTATGAAACTTAGGATCAGTGATGATAAAACCAAAGCTATGCATGCCTCCTGTAAAATGGGAATGAATAACTTGATGATGCTTCATGTAAATGGCAATGATATAGAATGGGAGAATCGTTTTATCTGTCGGGGTAGTCATTTGATGGCAGGAAGTTCTATCACCGAAAATGTCACATGTTGGCTCAGTCTTGCATCAGTGACATTTCAGTGTCTTCTAAAGGCCCCTGGGCTGCAGGATGTCTGTGTGATAGCTAAGATATGAGTGTTCAACACAGTAGTGATGACAATACCGTTAGGGCAGAAACGTGGCCATTAAAAAGTGTTGAGGAGAGGAAACTAAACAGTTCTCAGTATCAAAAGTTCCGGCATATTCTTCATGCCCATTGGTTTGATTTTTATTACAAACTTTGAGATACTTACATGATCCTGGCAAGTTGCAGTCCTGCATCGGTTGACAAGAGGATGGCAATGGTGGGGTCATGTACAACTTCCAGAAGAAGGTACACTTTTACAGAAGGTTTATGGAGCTAAGATTGAAAGAAGTAGAACATGAGGCCAACCATGAAGGGGAAGATGCAACTTTGAGGGATTTAAGAAGTCTAAATTGTCCCATACTGACTCTTGCTGAAGGAAGAAGACTTGCAAGAGACTGTTCAAGCTGGAAGTCCATTCTTTGTGCCACCACAGCTACATCATAGCCATGAGCATCTGCTGCTGCCACTCGCTTTGCAGTTTAGACTATGCCTTGAAGACTATGGGGTGTTGGGAATTATGTTCCTGGTTTGGCTTTGCAGGTGCTTCTGTGGTCGTGGAGGGTTAGTGGGTGGGTATCTGGGAGTGAGCTGGATGCTAATCCCTTCTTCATCCCCTTTAAGCTGTCCTGACTCTCAGTAATATTACACTGAGGTAAGTGACTAGGAAACAGAAAATGGCCTTATTCAAAAAAGCAAAGGGCAGACCAGCGAGCTATGCTGTGAAGTTATTCACCAAGATGGTCTCCTCTGAAGTGCTGTAGGAGTGGAAGGGAATTGTGAGCTATATTGCGGGCAGTTCCCATACAGCTACCCCACAGGGAGCCAGGAGCCTCAAGGCAAATGTCAGGAGGAAAACAGGTAGATGTATAGGTGCCCTCTACACCATGGGCTTGTGAACAGTTGATGGTTTGGGCTTTACCATGAGACAGAAGCTGGTTGCCCTGTCAGACCAGCCACCATTTTGAGAATGTGTATGTGGGGGGCGGAGGCCAAATGAAGGGGGACAGAGAGGGCTGAAGGATGTGGGAACTGGAAATCAGAAAGGCTTCTAGCTCACATCCACACAAAGTGGGGCACTGGAACAGAAGTTAGCACAGCAGTGTAGTGTAATAATAAATTGTAAAGGTCAATACTTACATGCCAAGGTTCCTTTGATAGGATCTGCCTCCTCAGTCCCGGGCTGGTTTGTGTCTGGGAATCAAGCTGGCTTCCAACATGGCCACCCTCAGAGTCCTGAGTCCTGAAGAGATCATGACTTTCTAGGGAGAGCTCTTCACTGCACTGCTTGTGTTCTTCCTCCAATGACTCTTGTCGCTCATCCTCAGTAGGAGGTGGGAGAAGGGGGTACAGCTGTGCACAGGATCCACAACCTTCTTGGGTTTATAGCGGTGTAATTGTTTAATATCCTGTCCAGCTCCTCAAAAAATAGATCGCTTATATTTCCACACTCTTCTTACATCTTGGGTTGTTGTGTACAGTCTCCTGAGCTGTTTGCTCTTTATCTGGTACTAGTTGGTGTCCTTGTGGACAACTGGCTAGCAATGTCCACCAACACGTCTTTATTCTGGTGGCTGGCCCCAAGAGCTTGCTGGCCTGCTGCTTTTCCCCAGATGGCAGTGAGATCTAGGGTCTCAGCATGGCACCAAGCCGCTGTTAGAGCCACGTTGTAGAGGCTGCTGGAGTAATATTGCTGTAATACCAATATATTGGACTCCAGGAGTAAATGGTCTGATCCTGCCAGATGAAGGATATGTCGTCTTGTCAATTTGACTCCAGAGCAGTGGGAGGGGACGCAGGTAAACAGACAGGTTGCTCATACATGTCTGCAAAGCAGTGTGGGATAGCAGTTGGAGAACTGCCAAAGTAGTGTGAAGCAGCATTGTGTGTATACTAACAATAGACCGCGTTTGCTAAGTTTGCATCCAACTTGAAAGAAGACTCCAGAGTTTGCGATAAATGTGGAGTTAGTGCACTCGAAGGAACGATGTTGCTTGTGCACAGGCATTTGTAGGCCAAACAGCCTGAGTTAGTGTGGATTTAAACCCCCGGTGTAGACAATCCCTCAATGATAGTTATGGCTCTGAGTCAGCTAAGCAATTAAGTACGTTCTTACATACCACTGGATGGGCTTGTTCTACTGAATCAGGGCCTTATTCCTAAGCTAACAAACTCTCATCAACAGCTCTCATTTTATTCAGCCCAGAATATGAATATTGCCTCATAAACAGAAAGCAACCTCAAGTATAATAATCACAAACCAAGGGAGCCACTGTGAGAGCCATGATCTTAGAGCAGGTGTTTCTGCCTCCAGGCCCTGTGCTCAGACCACTAGACCTCTCTGTAAAGTTTAATTAAAATGGCAGTTTGTTTATTATTAAGACATAAACAAAATGTAGTTGTACATCACACTCCAACACAGCCACGGTCACAGCGGTGACTTTTCTCAGGAGGGTAAATGTAAATAGGTAGATCAGAAATGTGCACGGGATGACAAGTGCCTCTTCCCTTTTTATTTGCATAGATTTATTTATACTTCTTTCTATCTCGTTCCTCACTGCAGGTTTTGAATGTTTAAACTGCTAATTTTCACTTCACTTTTCATATCCGTTTGTAGCTCTAAGTCCCGCAAAGAGAGAACTGTAAATAAACCGAAAGAAAATGAATTTTAGTATCTCTTTTGGTCCTTTGGACTCTGACTGATTGCAGACTTCCCAGATTAGGGGTGTAATGAGAGTAGCAAGTGTATACTTGGAGTTGCTACTGTACTATATCTTGGGGGAAAATGCTGTTTTATTGCCGTCTTCTCCAGATTATGGCTGAACGGAAGAATGCTAAAGCTGTGGCTTGCAGCTCTTTACAGGAACGGACAAATGTCACCCTGGATGTTCCCCTGCAAGGTACTGTGTGCCAGAATTAACTTTATATTATGGTCCAGTTTTAGATACAGTCCCTTAATGTTGTACTGAACAAAAATTGAGCTGAAAGGAAGGCTAACAGTGTCTTTTAGATAGTGTATCTGATGATGTCACAGCAAAATACTTTTATTAGTAATGTTGACAGTAGTGCAGTTCTGCTCAGTTATGGCAACTTGTTTATTTCCTTTGGTTTCTTTCAAAATATGTAAATTTCACAGCTCAGTAGTGGAAATGATATGCCAGATCTGCATAAAAACAAAATATTTCCAATTAATCAATGGGTTCAGAGGAGTTATAGCAGATCCAAACTCTTCCTGGATTTCAGCATCAATGTGAGCTTCAAAGGCTGATGAGCAAGCAAATCTTCCAGCCAAATGTGTGCTGCACCCTGTAGCGTGGGGTAAAAGAAAAATGGCTTTGTGTTTCTTTCTCTTAGCGTAATGGTTGATATGTTGAAAGCAGCCCAGGAGACTTACACACAGTAACTAATGCAAGGTATATGTTTTAAATCCACTTGCCTGCACTGAATATCTCAACTCACTGCTATTTGTTGTTCATAGGGATTTTTTATTTGCATCAGCTGTTCACACGGACATTGGTTTCTCCTGGCACAGAGAGAGCATGTTCATAGGCATGGTTTAAAAACACAGGGCTACATTCACAAAGGGAATCCATCTCTCCTGTTGAGGCTATTCTACTTCATATGAAAAATGTAAATAGTCATTAGATCAGAGAGGAAAAGAGTGAGAGTGACTCTCTAGCCCAGTGGCTAAGGCACCCACCTGGGAGACCCAGGTTCCAGTCCCTGTTCCAGTGACTCTTTTTAAGTATTTCATACAAAGTGGAACAGTCTCAACAGGAGAAACTGAAAAAGACCCACCCTAGAATACCACACAATCCAGCAATTAGGGCATTCACCTGGGAGGTGGGAGACTTTGGTTCAAGTCCCCTCTCCTCTGTCAGAGTGGTGATTTGAACTGGGGTCTCCCACATCCTGAGTGAGTGCTCTAACCACTGGGCAATATGGGGTAAGGGGTGGGGGGAAACTGCTACTTCTGCTCCTATTTCACTGAAAAAGCACTGACCTGGCTTAGGTGCCTAACTCCAGGGGGCGGTTCATGGCTATGAATCCAAAGTGGAGATAACTGCTTCCATCTGGCCTGGAGTTAGGTGCCCAACTTCCTTTGAGAGGAGGAGCTTAGGCCCTGCCCCTCTCCTCAGTATTTCCTATTGGCTAGCTCAGATGGCTCTCTGCTCAGTGTGCCAGCTGTTGAGAGTCCTCTTCTTAGGACTTGTCTACACAGTGAGTGCCCAGGGTGCGAATTTAAAGCGTACCAGCTTGCTGCACAGGTGAAAGCCAAGTGGATGTTGCCACAGCACAGTGAAAGTCCCAGGGTGCAGCTTAGCGTTCTGCTGCTTGAAAGCATAGTTTGATAAGCCACACTCCAGGACATCCACTTCTGTAGCAGTGTCCAAATGGCGAGTTACTGTGAGTGACCTGATGCGTTGTGGATAGGGTTCGCAGGTGTCCAGTTTTCTACTGGAACGCCTGATCGAAAAGGGACCCTGGCAGCTCCAGTCAGCACTGCTGACCGGGCCGTTAAAAGTCTGGTCAGCAGCACAGTGGGGCTAAGGCAGGCTCCCTGGCTCCGCGCAGCTCCCGGAAGCAGCCGGCATGTCCCTGTGGCCCCTAGGCGCAGGAGTGATCAGGGAAGGTCCATGCGCTGTCCCAGCATCGGCTCCACAGCTCCCATTGGCTGGGACCGCAGCCAGTGGGAGCTGTGAAGACGGTGCCTGCGGGCGCAGGCAGCGCACACCATGCCGAGCTGCCTGGCCATGCCTCCTCCTAGGAGTCAGACATGCCGGTCACTTCTGGGAGCAGTGCGGAGCCAGAGCAGGCAGGGAGCCTGCCTTAGCCCTGCTGCGTCGCCAACCGGGAGCCACCTGAGGTAAGTGCTGCCCGGCTGGAGCCCACACCCTGAACCCCCTCCCACACCCTAACCCAGTGCCCCAGTCCTGAGCCCCCTCCCACACCCAAACTCCCTTCCGGAGCCCACACTCTCTCCTGCAACCCCAACCACAGCCCTGAGTTCCCTCCCGCAGCCAAACTCCCTCCCGGAGCCCACCCCCCAAACCTCCTCCCATACCCCAACCTCCTGCCCCAGCCCTGAGCCCCCTCCCGCACTCCAAACCCCTCGGCCCCAGCCTGGAGCCCCCTCCAGAACACACAACACGTCATCCCCAGTCCCACCCCAGAGCCTGCAGCCCCAGCCTGGACCCTCCTCCCGCAACCTGAACCCCTAATGTCTGCCCCACCCCAGAGTCCTCACCCCCTCCCACACTCCAACCCTCTGCCCCTGAGCACATGCTGCTGGTTGTTCGCACTGTGCTAATCAGCTGGGCGGCACTTGAATCTCTCCTGCACAGCCGCTCAAGCACGCAGCTTACAGGGAACACAGGTGTTTGGTTTTGTGCAATTAGAAAGTTGGCAATCCTAGCTGTAGATTCATACCCTGGCTTGCTGCACATTAATTTGCCATATAGGCAATCCCTCAATCTCCTCACTTTCCCCATGCATTGTCTATATAGCCTGGACACCTAACTCAGGGCTCTGTGCTCTACTGGGTGGTAGGACACACAAAGTTAGGTACTGCAACACCGAGCCAGCACTCCGTTTGTGGAACTAGCCCTTAGAGGCCAAATTGTACATGGCTGTGCTGGATATAAGGCCAGCCCTGTATATATGCTCATACCTTAGAGACATATTCATGCAAGTTTTCTAAATGTTTTGAACACAATCCTATTTTTAGTGTACATGAATTGGAAGTTGTATCATCTTCCTCCTTAATTCCCCTGGAAATCACTTAACATCTTCTTGTATGAGCTAGAAGGAGTGCAGATCTATTTTAATCAATACAGTATTTTCGGAGTAAAATTACTTGGTAAGCTATTTCTTCTGTCTGTGCAATAAAAGTGTGTTTTACTTGCTCGTGAATGTTGATAAACAGCATTGATTTTTTTTGTTCCCATGCAGTAGATTTCCCAACACCAAAGACAGAGCTGGTACAGAAGTTCCACGTCCAGTACTTGGGCATGTTACCTGTAGTTAAACCAGTGGGTATGTAACACCATTGTTCTTAACTGATGCTAGAAGGGACTTACATAAAATCTGAAAGGGCTAGATTCTGGCTACATGTGCACTGGTAAAGTAAAGTTCAAGGAGCAACAACGCTCTTTACATGTGTTCTGGATGCACAGGGGTCAGCACTAAGCCTCCACATAAGAAGAAGAGAATGGGGCTGTCTAGTGCTCATGGTCTCACTCAGGCTTATGCTTCTTCAGCCAGAATGTTTTGGGAAGGCTGCTGAGACAAAGCCCTTTGCAGCGCCCTCTCCCAACATGAACAGTGACAATTAAAAAGTCAGAAGGGAGTTGTAAGTGCATAGGACTGGAGTGAGATGCTACCTGAACAAACTGCCGTCCTAGTGTTTTAAGCCTCCTAGGAGAAGACTGGCAACTAATTCTGTTTTTACAAGGTGATGAAAAATAAAGGGATAGCAGGAGCTAGTCATTTTTTTCTTACACCCCCGCCATCAGAATGTTTTTAGCTAAGAAATCTAAAGCAACTTCTTTTCTGTGCTTCTAGGTGAAAAAAATAATTTCTTCTAGGTTTTTTTTTATGTATTCATTTTATACATTTTTTTTTATCCCACTCTCCCTCCCTCTACATTTTAGGTATGGATACGCTGAACAGTGCCATAGAAAACCTTATGGCTTCCTCTAGCAAAGAGGAGTGGATGCCAGTTACCATGAATGTTGCTGATGCTACTGTGACGGTCATCAATGAAAGAGTAAGTTAGGAATAGATTAACATAATAGTTTTAATAGTGCAGTCTCAGAAAGCTGGAAAGACCCCCCATCTGTAATAGAATATTTATTTGTATTAGAGTGTATTCTTTTGTTTCACTTGACGTTTCCCTCCAGTAATGTAAGCTGTGCACAACGGGACCATTTAGTAAAGACTGAGATTTTAAAAAAAATCTTACAATTCAACTCCCACTTTTATGTTAAAGCGCAGCACATCAAGGTTCTTACCAGTCACTTCTGCTCGGCTCAGTTTTATTTGCCCCTTCAAAACATGCCCTTAGAAATAAATTGTAAATGTTTGAGGTGTAAAAAAATAAGTATCAGCATTACCTTTTCCTGGGGTTTTTGGGACCCAAATACTGCAAGCCTAACCCCTGGGCCAAGAGTCCTGAATATTAAGATTTGCTCTGTCCTCCTCTGCAATTTAGCAAAGACAAGGAATCTTTCAGTCTCTGTTTCGTGCTGCTGCTTTATACAAAGCATTTTCCCAGAAGACCAGTAGAGTGACACTTTCAAGAAATAGGTCTGTTTCACTGCTGCTGTGTCCCCAGGGTAAAATCCCTATTCAATATGGATAAGTATTTTTTTTTTGTTTTGAAGACTTACCACGGTCAGTCTTTTCTAAACTGAAATAAGCTAAAATCTGTGGTGTTCCCAATACCAACTGCTTTGGTCTCTCTTCTTCTTGTATTTTAGAAGGGTTAATTGAGTTCAGCACATAGCACATTGCTAATGCTGTACAGATAAATCATAAGAGTTCAGCGCTACTGCTACAGTTTCACCAGGGATTTTAGAAACATCAATGAAATAGCTCAAAAAGTTGTATTGACTACAGTGTAGTAATGAGCGATCATTGCTTCATAACCAGAATGAAGAACAAATCATAGTGGAATGTCGTGTTCGGTTCCTGTCCTTTATGGGAGTGGGCAAGGATGTCCATACATTTGCCTTCATTATGGATACAGGGAACCAGCATTTTGAATCCCATGTTTTTTGGTGTGAACCAAATGCAGGCAATGTATCAGAAGCTGTTCAGGCTGCATGTATGGTAAGTGATCTTTTTCAGAGTGAACTGTAGTACTTAGCTCTTTCACTAATTCTATAAATAGTAATAATTGTAAATTTGCAATTATATGAAATCCCTATAGAATCATAGAATATCAGGGTTGGAAGGGACCTCAGGAGGTCATCTAGTCCAACCCCCTGCTCAAAGCAGGACCAATCCCCAATTAAATCATCCCAGCCAGGGCTTTGTCAAGCCTGACCTTAAAAACTTCTAAGGAAGGAGATTCTACTACCTCCCTAAGTAACGCATTCCATTGTTTCACCACCCTCCTAGTGAAAAAGTTTTTCCTAATATCCAACCTAAATCTCCCCCACTGCAACTTGAGACCATTACTCCTTGTCCTGTCCTCTTCCACCACAGAGAATAGTCTAGAACCATCCTCTCTGGAACCACCTCTCAGGTAGTTGAAAGCAGCTATCAAATCCCCCCTCATTCTTCTCTTCCGCAGACTAAACAATCCCAGTTCCCTCAGCCTCTCCTCATAAGTCATGTGTTCCAGACCCCTAATCATTTTTGTTGCCCTTCGCTGGACTCTCTCCAATTTATCCACATCCTTCTTGTAGTGTGGGGCCCAAAACTGGACACAGTACTCCAGATGAGGCCTCACCAATGTCGAATAGAAGGGAATGATCACGTCCCTCGATCTGCTTGCTATGCCCCTACTTATACATCCCAAAATGCCATTGGCCTTCTTGGCAACAAGGGCACACTGTTGACTCATATCCAGCTTCTCGTCCACTGTCACCCCTAGGTCCTTTTCCGCAGAACTGCTGCCTAGCCATTCGGTCCCTAGTCTGTAGCGGTGCATTGGATTCTTCCGTCCTAAGTGCAGGACCCTGCACTTATCCTTATTGAACCTCATCAGATTTCTTTCTGTAATATTTAAAGAACTGAAAAAACTGGTATCTTTAATGCAAAATAAATAAATAAATCTTTGAGAATTTAAATAATGCTCCTATACCAACCTTACCTATTTAGGCGAAAGTGATTATGAAATGATAGATTTCATGATTCTAGGGAAAGGAATGAGTGACAGCAGCAGAATACGGATAATGGACTTCAACAAGGCAGACTATAGAACAAGCTCAGAACTTGTAGGTGAGGTCCCATGGAGGAAAGTCTAAAGGAAAAAGCAGTTCAGGAGAGCAGTTTCTCAACGACACAACAGTAAAGGCACAACAATAAACACATCTCAGTGTGAAGGAAAGACAGGAAGAATAGTAAGAGGACAATAAAGCTCCATCAGGAGCTCTTTAATTACCCCAAAATCAAAAAGGAATCCTACAAAAAGTGAAAACATGAACAAATTGCTAAAGATGAATACAAAAGAACAGCACAAGCATGTAGAGTCAGAAAGGCTAAGGCACAAAATGAGTTACACCGAGCAATGGACATAAAAGGGCAATAAGAAGAAGTTCAATAAATCCATTAGGAGCAAGGGAAGATGAAGGAACATGTAGATCCACAACTTAACAGGGAATGAGAGCTAATGATAGATGACATGCAAGAACGCTGTGGTGTTTAATGCCTATGTTGCCTCAGTCTTCTCTAAAAGAAAGTTGTGACTGGATGCATAATATTAACAATTTATATTCACCAAAAGGGAGAAGGAGTGCAAGCACAAATAGGGAAAGGACAGGTTAATGAATATTTAGATCAGTTAGATGCAGTGGTGAGCTGGAACCGGTTGTTAAAATTAGAAGATCTTTTAGAACCGGTTGTCCCATGAGGGAGGTTTAGTTTAAATATTAGTAAAATCTTTAACTGTAAGGATAGTTAAGCACTGAAATAGGTAATCAGCATGGTTGTGGAATCTCCATCAATAGAGGTTTTTAAGAACGTGTTAGACTTACCCCTGTCAGGGATGGCCTTAGGTGTACTTGGTCCTGCCTCAGCACAAGGGGCTGAGATAGATGACTTGTTGAGGTCCCTCCCAGCCCTACATTTCTGTGATTCTATCTCCTACCCCTTTCCATGTCTACAACGTGATGAAGGGCCCTTTTATTCTCATTACATGATCATCTTACGCTGGGCAGTTTGACATATATTTTACAAATATAGATAAACTATAGGCCTGTATGCAAATATGCCATTCAATAATTGGAGTAAATTTTCAAATTATACAAGTAAATTGACCCATGAGATGCTTTCATTCACTTCTAAAATAAGACCCTGAAATTTCCGCAATATATGCTCCTTTAAAATAACTAAGTTTGATTCCTGTACTGAAGAATTTTAGATCAAAGATAAAGACTTTGTAGCACATTTTGAAAAATAATAACAGCAAGAAAAAAAAAAGGCAAGAAAATTATTAATAATTATTTACGTTATCCTAGGGCCAAGAAGCTCCATTCATGGACCAGAACCCTATTGTCCCATGTGCACAAACACAGAACAGGCAGTCCGAGCCCCAAAGAACTCATACACAATGTTACTAAGATTGTATGTGCATTTGGGATATGTCTGAGGGGCTGAAATATTTATTCTGATCACTGTGCCAGGGCCAGCGCTTCTAAAAGTTTCGGTCTGCCAGGGTGTCCCTACGCCTGGAAAGTGTTCTGTCATTGGACCGTTAAAATAATTTAATTCTTATTTTATTTTGGTTTTCCCCTCCATTTCACTTCCAACGTGAGTGTAGCAGCCAATGAGGCATAAGCTGCTGAAGTTAGAGTTTAGTGCTTCATCCCATTTTCAAGATGCACTTTGGAGTTTTGGAGGCAATACAGCTAACGCTCCAGCAGTTCCCAAGGGCATGGCTGTTACAGATGTCTGGGGGGAAATAAATAATAAGACTGAGGGGGAGTTTCAGCTTTTCACACACATCAGTGTAATTCAGCATTTGTTTCTAGTCTGTTCTTGAAATAGCCTTTAAAATAGTCACTGATCCCTTAGTTTAGCAGTGGGTTTTTTGGCACCAGTCCAGGCTGGATTGAATCTAGCAAGTTCAAAGGTAGAGTTTGCCGGTAATGTATAAAAAGTACTGAATTTAAGATTCTGATGAGAAGCTATTGAAATGCACTAATGATTGTGGAACACATTTTGCTTTGTTGCAGTTACGGTATCAGAAGTGCTTGGTAGCCAGACCTCCTTCACAGAAAGTTCGACCACCCCCTCCTCCTGCAGACTCGATGACCAGAAGAGTCACAACTAATGTCAAACGTGGAGTCTTGTCCCTTATTGACACTTTAAAACAGAAACGCCCTGTTTCTGAGATGCCATAGCTGCCCAAGGGAAAGGATTCTTGTAACACTTAATTGAAGATACAGTGGCTACGCTAAAGAAAACGAACTGATGATGTTTGACCTTCCATTTTAAATTGCTGATGCTTTGTCTTCAACGAATTTATCCTTATCAAAACAATGTTAGACAAGCATGTTCTCTCGTTCTTGCCATCATCATGTGATATGAAAAGACGCATGAATAATTTTTTTGCTGTCAATGAGTTACATCATGAGCAGTGGAAGGTCTGTTTCTGATTGTAAATATACTGAACATTACCTAAATTCACACCCAAAAAGCATATGGCCATGTCCCTCCTAGTGAACTAATGTTAAAGTCCTTGGAGTGAATGATGCCTGAATTATAGTTTCACCATCTTCTTGAGCTGGATTTGTCACAAGCAACCCTTAAATCCTACAGCACTTTGCCCTGTTTTCAACACTGGAGTAGGTACCAAGTATTAGTTACCATTAAATTACTGTGGTATAAATACCAAGTTTTATTTTTACAAAGCTGCCCCTGTTAGTTTTAAAATGTGCATTGGCATTGGTTTAGGAACCACTGTATAATTTTGCCTGACATGCTTTTGAACCACGGTGACCATATTTCACTTATTGTTTATATATTATTGTTTTGGAGAAGAAAAGTTTTGAATAATTCAGAGCAGGATGCATCAGCTTTAGCCTTTTGCCCTAAAACAGACAAATGCATCAGGGGCCTGTTAAATCTATTCTCCAAAATCCTACATGGTGCAACAAAAATGTCATTTATTTAACTGTGGGCTCCAACCATCCATGATTAAGAGAGGGACCTATTCAGAACCGTTATATATGGCACAAACTAGAAAGCTACATATTTTCCCTGTATTACTCCTTGTGTGTGCAAACTTTCATTGAAGGCCCGATCACACAGTTCTTTCATTTGGAGTTTGGTGCTGAGTTAATATTTACATGAGATGGAAAAGGACTATCCCGTTTTTGTTGTGCAGACCTATTCTCATTTATACCATGATGAAATTTCATTTTACTTTAATGCCCTTGCTGTAGCAGCTCTCAACAAAGGAATGATACAGCTGTTCTCTGATGTGATGGAGCTAAATGTAGAGTAACCTGATTTCAGTGCTTTTGCTCCAGAAGCTCCAGCTAGCTGTGTTAGTCCACTCTACTGTAAATTCCTTGGCAACAAACTATGCAGTATTGCCCCTTACAATCGTACATGTGCTAACCTTTGAATGCACTTATATGCTTATCTTTTTCTTTGTTTTTTCCCCTTGCCCTCTGTCTTATTACAACTGCAGGTTGGTACAAACAATAGAAATGAAAAGTGCAGATGTTTTTACCAGTGTTAAAATTTTTCTGCCTCCATTTTAGACATCTACTTGGAAGGCTGAACCATCTGGGTATGCTGACACTGTAATTTTAAAGGGACATGTCAAGGCTGATAGGCCCAGAATTTGACCTAGCTTTCTCTTTATATCTATTCCCTAGGGGCTTTTTGTTTTAAATGAATGGTTGCATCTTTTCTTTTTTTAAAATTGATCCCAGTTGCTACCCAGGAGCTACCCCAGTAACAAACAAATCAGGCTGTGGATGAACTTGACATGACTGAAATGTGACCATACTGGCAAGTGAAGGGCTGATGCTCTACTGGTGTAAAGAGGTGCAGCTCCGTGAACACCAGCTGAGGAGCCAGTGCCCTGAAATCCTAACTGGTACCTACAATGGGGCTCTGACCTGGCTGAGGCCTCTAAGCACTACGGCAATATAAAGAATAATACAACCCACTAGCATACACTTAGCTAAAACACTTGCCTGCGGTCCAATTCAGCAAGATATTTAAGCATGTGCTTAATATTTTAAATCCATGTTTAAAATTATGCAAGTGCTTAAGCCCCAGTGCAGCAAGGTATTTATGTACCGCAATCCTGTTCGGAGAACCAAGGCTACAAGAAGAAACTTGCACTCACATTCACTCCTTTAAGAAAAGGAGTACTTGTGGCACCTTAGAGACTAACCAATTTATTTGAGCATGAGCTTTCGTGAGCTACAGCTCACTTCATCAGATGTTTACCGTGGATCCACGGTAAACATCTGATGAAGTGAGCTGTAGCTCACGAAAGCTCATGCTCAAATAAATTGGTTAGTCTCTAAGGTGCCACAAGTACTCCTTTTCTTTTTGCGGAATACAGACTAACACGGCTGTTCCTCTGATTCACTCCTTTGTTTCTCTCGGTTCCAGTAGTGGTAATCTCAGTGGTTTCCACTGGGAACAGGGCTGATACCATTTTCTTTTTCCACAATGGTTATCAGCAGCCATCAGATGGTAACCCCACCTAGCCACCACCACCCTGGATCATATTAAAATCACTGATCTAGAGACATAAGATGCTGTATTCATTGTCACTCCCCAGATTCAGCCTGTTACCGGTTTTTTAATTATAGCAAATACCTTGACAGTGTCCTTTTACAGTTCCAGTTTGAAACTTTCCCAGGATTCAGATTTGCAATGAGTTTTAAATAGTATAAATACATTCCATAGGAGATCCACTGCATCTGTGTGATGCTGCCGCCCCATGATGGCAGATCAGGACCTCCCTTTGTAATTCAACAGACATGTTAAAAAGCTGTTGTTTTTATTCTCTACTTGGTGTGGTTCGGTTTCCTGTTGTGAGGACCATGAGTGCTTAGCTTGCTTTCAGCAGCAAAGCATATAGAGAGAGTCAGGGATGCAGTTGCAGTAGGTATTGAAAAGACAATGGACAGGAATGTATTGAAAAGTCACAGATCATCTGCAGATATTTTGTTTTTAAAATACCTTTGTTTATTTTACCAAAATACTGATTAAGACCTTGATTCTGCAAAACCTAGGCATGTGCTTTATAAGCACATTAGTCTCACTAGCTTCAACAGGATGACCCATGCTCTTACCGGTTATGCATATACCTAAGTGTTTGCAGGATCAAGGCCTAATTTTGTAAAACCAATTATATTAAAACACGATGTTGACTTACTTTCTGCCATGGCCAAAAATTATGGTTGGTGCATGTGTGAGAGCAAATGCCATTGTTTTACCCAAGTTGTAGTGACACTTCAGTTACCTATGCATTCTCTGTATCTCGTGTTTCTGTGAGTAGGCATACACTCTGCCTTGTATGTCTCACGTCATTTTTGAATTAACCTGTTAAATACAGCTTAAAATATTTTTATTTTATTTATTCTATTTTTACTGAAATAGCCTGCATTATGATGTTGATGTACTATCTTTACTGGACACGATCTCACAACATATCCAGTGCTAAGTAATCGCCGTGTACTATAGGTTGCCTAAAAAGGTGGGTTTTGTAATTATTTGTAGTCACATTTTTATTGGAGTATGTAGAAGAAATGGCAAAACAATGTGTAAAGCTAATTTCTCTTATTTTATAAATGCAAATAGCAAGTTAGAGGCAGATATCACAGGCCACCTCATTAATATGCTCCATTGCAGAAGCAAGGAGATATATAGCCACAGCCAATGTCTATAGCTTAAAGCCTTTCCTTTGAGTTGCTGCAGTTTTTAGTTTTTATTTAAACCACTTATGATTTCATCTGGAAAAAAAAGAACCACCTACAGATTGCATGAAAGGACACTGATCCCACTTACAGAATAATGAGTTCTTAGTGATAAACTTCGTGTAAAGAGCTACCTGTACCTCTTCACACACAAAAAGAAGTCCTTCCTTAGATTTGCAGGATATAAAGCTATGGAATAACTAAGACCGTTCTGTGTCATTTACTAAGATTTCTAAATCCCTTTTCTTTTAATTATATCAAACATGTCAGTGAAGCAGGGATATAAAACTGTTAGTAAATCACATGTGAAAACAGCTATTTTTACTTTAATAGCTGATACCGGCTCAGCCTTTACAGCTTTAACATTAACACTGTTACTTCTATCTGTGCAGGCTTAGTTATTTTAATATATTGCTAAAATCCTGTTTTGTACAGTCACCAAACAAAGGTTTGATTTATCTTGGTAGTTGCAAAAGAGAAAGGGAAAATGCACACTGTTTATCAGTCAGAGCTCAGTGTTATATAAAGCAGCTGATTGACACTGAAAATAACTTTTTTTTTTGCTGTTGACCACTTTTACACATTGATATGTAATCTGTTGTGAGAATAAATTTAGCTGCATAAATGCTTGAGTCACTTGTCACTAGTCCATGAAGTTTGGAAAGTAGTTCATTTCTTGGGACAGAAACTTGGTGGGGGGGGGGAAGGAGAAAGACTCTCTGTATTTACTGTTTAGAAAAGATACCAGTACATTGGACATTTCAGAAGAGAGACCATGTATTTTCTGAATTATTCAGTGGTAAATGTTAAGCCAGTATTAAGGAAAAGGTGGCACTATGATTTGCCCTAATGCCCAGCTTGAAATATAAATTGCTTTTAAGTCCTAGAAAGCATATTTTTAATGGACAGAGGCGTAAGAGGAAGTCAGATTTGTCTGTTTTAAAGCTTTGGTCATGGGCTATACAGCCTTTTACTTGTATGTTGCTGGTGCAATTCTGGGTCACGGTGGGACTACCTAAAATTTGCCACCAGCTGATGGCAAAAGTGGTTTGTGAACCAAGTTGTTCTCTAGCATCATATTGATCACTGCTGGCTCTTGGATGATCTGGTCAGAGACTGAACCAGCGCCGAAGATCTAGTCTTCGATCAGGATGAGACCCATTGGTGGGACAGCAGATGGAAACTTGCACTACCGTGCTGTACCCCATATGTGAATAGAACTTCCACTGCCAGAGCTGTCAACTAGCACCTTTGAATGAGCACACTGTTTTTATTTTTAAAAGAGATCGTTTATACTTAGTTTATTGTTATAACACCCACTGTGCATTATTAAAAATGAAAAGATTTAAAAACCCACTCTTTTGCCTTCCCTTTCCCAACTACAGGATCTCACACCTACTTTGAGCCATGCTTAGTAACTATATTTAAAATAAAATGAATATAATTTTCCCTTTATATTTTCCATTCCCTTTCTCTAAACTGCAGCTTCTTTTTTCATCCCCATTGTGAACTATCATTGTAAAATAGCGTCACTTTGTTCTCCTGCTTTTTTCCAGTTGTACGTTGCAAGCATAGGACTCGAGCCAGGAGCCTTACAATCTGCCCCGAAGGAGACCAGAGAATGAATTATGATTCACTCACAATTCTTCCCCTGGCATTTGGGAAGGAGAAGTTCACCCCTTTTCATGGATCTGTTTACTCTTGACCAGTGAGGGTGGGTGTGTGGAGCCAAGGCTGCTCCTGTTTACTCACGGTGAGGTAATGGGTGAGCAGCACAAAACTTTTAGCTATTAGAATTATTTCTTTTGTTAAATAGATCACATTCAGCAGCACTCAGTAGGAAAACTCACCTTTTATGAGCACAGGTTTGTTTGTTTCTTTCCTTCCCCTATTTTTCTTTCTGTTTCTCTCCCTCCTTTCTTCCTTCTATATTTCCCTGTTGGGAGCAATTCTCAATTTTCTACTTTAGATTTCACTCCGCCTCCCCCTTGCCCTCATCTAAAATGATCACCAGCAGCTAATATTGACATTTGAAATGTTATCATTAGGCTTAAAATTAACATCTTAATTAGATGAATTATCTCTAACTGGTGTCAGGGTTGGCACAAAGAATCAGGAAGTCATAACTGATTCCAGGTACTTAATTTCATTTTCCCCCCATGTCTGGGCTCTTCTGGATGGTTGGAGAGGGAAGCCATCCTTTGCTAGGCGCTCCTGTAGATTGCAGTAGATCTACATGCGTTCCTGTCCTGCACAACCCAGCTGGCACACAGGCAATGGAGCAGCCACTTTGTTTTTTCCCTGCAGTGCAGAAGTAGGCCTGTCAGTGAGCCGTCGCAGCAGGTAAAGCTTTCAGGTCACACTGAAGGTGCTACTAGGGCTGCAAGGGAAGCAGTACCCCCTACCACCTCCTCAGAGCAATGCAAATACTCGTTTTTAAATGGCAGGCAGCATATTTATTTCATAATCAAATACAAATTTGAGTCTCAAGGGCCACCCCTTGGATGCCAGTGATCTAATGCATGGCTTATTGGTTGTAAGTTCCCTTCTTTGTATTTTATGTCGTGGAGGGTGCAAAACCAGTTTTGCTTATTCCATTTCTGAATCAAACCCTTGTCAAAGTAGGCGCATTTATCTAGCTCTCCTTTAGAGTGTCTGTACGGAGTATGGAATGTAGACACACTAATACCTCCTACTTTATTTTATTGGAGAACTAGGACAGTTTAGTAAAGGTACCAATACACTGGACCCAAGTGAAATGGGGGGGGGGAGGAATACTTTTAATATTTATGAAGTACACACTTCTGATTTAAATTATAAATTGGATAGAAAGTTAATAAAACCAATCCTATTAAAAAATACGTTGCATAATACTTCTGAAGTTGCTAGTTGGGTTAAATATCTTAAGCTAGTAAGAGCAATTTGAATACAAATATCCACTAATCATTTCAAACAGGAAAGAAGTTCTGAAGTTCCACCCAAATTTCAGAGTTAAGATGGTTACGGTTATGGTTAAGAAAACCTTATTTCGTCTTGCTTTAAAAAAAAAAAAAAAAAAAAAAGTTGGTCCACTGGAACGACTGAGAATGTGATAAACAATTCTAGGTTCCTACAGTTAAATACTTTAATAGATTGACATCTCAATATACTTAGCAAGATGTAACCACATATTAAACTTAGACAGAAATGACTGACAGTTAATATATACTATTTAAAATGATTTATAGTTTAACTTGCAACCTGATCTTTACATATAATTAGAAATGCTGTTTATCATTTTCCCGCTCAATCACCAATGTTTCCAAAAAAATTGTTAGAATCATGTAAATGTAAACCAAAAAACTTGCTGTCATTATTCAGATGAATAATATAATATTGGTATTAAGTGTTCCTATTTTGCTTGACATTTGTGAACTATCAGGATGCAGAATAAGCAGCACTTTCACCATTTCTGAATTGTTACTGCTCATAGAAAGCAGTTTCATAAAAAGCAACATTTGAGCTTCCTTTTACCAGTCCCCATTAGGCTGACAATTATGATTTTTATAAACCATGACAGTACTGTGACATGTCAGAGATAATTCAGAATTCATTTTAGCATCAACATACCTGTCTAGTGTTAAAATGAAATTTTCTATTCAATTTTTTTGTTTTTAAATTTCCTCTGTTGCTTCCTAAAGCACATCTGACTGAACTGGGGCATTTGTGTGCTCACCAGCTGTGCACAAAATGTTCAACGCAAGTGCATACAATGTAGGCATGCGAAAAATCCAGACCTATTTTTAGAAAAAACAGGCTGAATAATAATTTTGATGATCCGCTTCCATATGCCATGGTCATAAATAATGACACTTTTCAACAAGATGGTAGCTGAAAATTGTAAGCGCAGACAACCATTTAATTTCATTGTTGCTATGTGAACTTTTAGACCACTGAACAAAACTTGCAAAGATTACTTTTAAAATTAAGTATGCCCAGATATGTACAGAAGGCATGTTTCAACATGTCACGTTCTACTGATTAGCAATTAGCTAATTTTGAGCTCACCCCTAAGGGATTTGAATTATCTATTGTAGTTGTTACTTTACGTGCATTTTGACATTCAGAATTTAATAGCTGGACTGAAACAACTATGTAATAGAGACTCTTTAGCAAAACATCCCCCTGCTATTTCCATAATAGCCAAGAAAAGAGTATTAATTATAAATGTTCCCTAAAGGTAAGTAGTGGCCTGCATGGATATACCCTGGCATCTAAGTGTGTGAATCAACTTATACAGGAATGTTTACCACTATAGCAATATAATTTCAAACTTTGAAGAAATAACTATGAACCAGTTACAAAAGTCTATTTTCAAATCCATGGTCGAGGATGCTTAACCATAGTTGAAGGTAAAGTTTCTTTTGGTTTGACCAATTTTTTTGATAAAGAAGGTATAAATAAGTCAGGTGCTGAGCTCTCTACTCCAATCCAGCGATAGTAATAATGTTGAGCTGAAATTTGAGATTTGTTCCCTTGTGGATTGAAGTATGGCACCATTACTGGAGGCAGAACTATCTCCACAGGTTTCAATACAACCATTTTATCTTCTGCCCGTGGCTTTCTAATGTGTGTCCGTCTCTCAAACACCTTACTCATAGATGACAGATTGGGTGTGTTCTTCAGCATTCCTGGCAGGGATGAGTTTGAGATGGGTTTGGTCATTTTCTTCCGCTGAATGGAACTGTTTGTTTGGTTCACATTTTTTTGTGGCCCACTAATTGCTTTAATTGGTGAAACTTCAGAATTAGTATTAATCATTTCTCGGTTCAGGAACTCTATAATGTTTGTTTGTACCCCAGTATCTTTAGGAACATTTCTTTGCTGTGTTACTTTTGATTTTTTCTTCCTCTTCTCTTCTCTCTTTGATGATTTTCCTATATCAAGACCTTCTAGTAGTCCCTTTGCTGCAGCACGAGCCAAAATGTCTTGTACAGACATTACTTCAGCTGGATCCCTCTGAAATTAAAGAAATTTAGTGGAGCTAAACTACACCATCAAGTTATGCACTCTATTTTAATCTCTTAGGATAAACCTGCACTTTAAAATACAGGGCAATGAGTCTCAGTCCCTGGGTGTGATGGGTGTATCAATCCCACACTGGCAATACAGGGATTAATAAACGGCTTCAAGCCCAAGGGGCCACACCTTCTCACCTTTCCTGGGCATGCTCCCAGTGAAGAGAGCATATAAAAGAAAGCAGCTCAGCTCAGTCTGGGCTGGCTAAGGAGGACAGCTGGCTCCTACCAGGAAGCTGCCAGGACTCCAGACTGCTAAGGCAGAGCACCCTGACCACACCGCAGGGACCGAAGGGGATGATGAGCTGCTACCAGTGGAGAGATGCCAGAGCCAGAGCAAAGGGAAGGAAGTGACCCAGCGGATGCGCTCAGGGATACAGAGACCTGAATCCTGCAACAGAGTAACTGGTTTCAAAGGGCTCTGTGTGAGAACCTAGTGGAGCAGGGTGGGCCTGGTTTCCCCTCCTCTGCACTTGCCCCACTGCTGCCAGAGCGGCTCCTTGGGCTCTCGCTGCTTACTCCTGACAGAGGAAGCGCCCTCCTAGACTTCCACTACTGGGCCCTACTGGACCCCCCACTGGCCCCTTGACACTGGGTCTACAGGCTCGAGTTTGTGCTATGGCGCTAAAAGCAACAGGGTTGACTTGGCTCTGAAGTCCACCCCCCTATCCTCCACTTCAAGCCCAAATACCTATACAGTGCTAAGCACAGCTATGGCACAAACTCAAGTCTGTAGACCAGGCTCTTGAAACTTGCTGCTGTGAGTCTTAAAATGTATAGATGTACCCTTCAATCCCTTCCAGCTGTTGTCAAGCTCAGCGTATATTCTAGAAAAAAAAATGCAAACATCTTGAAAGCAACAGCTGCATGTTATTAAAGGATGTTGACTTTACTGCAGAATCAAGGGTGTCTATAGTCTAGTTTAGAGGAGGAGAATGGAAGTCCAGACTTGTGTGTTTTACCTGCAGTTTCTACACTGACTTGCTGTGTATCAAGGCACTTTTAAGCACGACATGCTAGATTCACAAAGGAACTTCAGCATGGTGACAGAGTGGAACTTTTACATGCCAAGAAAATCACTGGGATTCACCAAAGTTTGAGTTTGGTGCCTAACCTCCCAATACAATGAAGGGGGCGAGAGAATGAGTCACAAAAGCCTGCAGGCTCGGTGGCTCTTTGCCTGAGCTAACCCCATGGGAGACACCAGCTGAGAGCAGGCCTCCTCCTCAGCAAGAAGAGGAGAAAAGCCACCACTTCCCTCATAACTTTTAGCCCAGAGGCTAGGGTACTCCCTTGGGATCTGAAACTCATCCCCTTCTACTTAAGCAAGAGAAGGGATTTGAACTGGGGTGTGCCACCTCTCAAGTGAGTGCCTTAAGGAGCAGGCTATAAGCCATTCTGATGTGGGGCTCTCTCTCTTGCCTGCTGCAGCTGTTCCACTGTGGACATATAATTTAAAAAGAAATCAGTGGAGCAGGGGGATTGGATCTCCCACCTCCCCAAGTGAGTGCTCTATCTACCAGGCTGTTTGTCTGCTCGCTTTCTGGCTCATGTTGAAGCTATTCTATGCTGTGGTTATATAATGAAATACTTATTTGTTCCCACCTTAGCCCCCAAGCCATTTCAGCAGAAGAATGCCTATCTTGCCCAGTTTGTGCACTACTCAGGGGGCTTAGGGATCTGGACACAAGCCATGGTTCTGGTGGGTGCATGTGCAGAGGCAGAAACATGAGTGATAAGGAACTTTTACTGAAAATATTTAGGTGTTGAGTGAATTTAGGTACATACAGGGGCAGCTGAGCAGGGATTTTGGCACCTAAAAGTGGCAGTTAAGCACCTATGCCCTTTTGCGAATCTAGGCCTATATTCCGCCTATGTGTATGAAGAGAAAAATACATCACCATTTATGAACACTGAATTAATTGTTTGCAAAGCACTTTGGGTGAAATATACAATGTAAAAAGTATTACTAGGAAGTTTTCCCACTATTAAATTCTTTCTAAAGATACGAATTAAACTGTTAAGATAGATACAAGGTTAGAAACACAACAGGGCTGGGAATGAAACTGAGGACTGGAATACTTAGGCTGAAACATCTCACAGTAAACTCTATTCGTGTGTCTAGCAGTCTCCCTCAGACAAATGGTGGGAGCCCCATCTGTGGCATAATCTAAAATTTGATTAGATGATGTATGGGGGGGGGGGGAATTCTGCACTGGCAGGAAGTTATACTAGACTATTTAACAGGTTTTTCCATCTGGAATTCTCTTGCCGTAATGGAACGCTTTGACTTATCTATCATCCCAAGAGAGAAGCTTCTCACCACCCATGGTGTTGTCATAATACGTAGGGAGATGGACTGACTGATCAAATCAATCTTATATTTAACTTCCACAATTAAAAACCTTGAGTATTTTATCCCCCCAGAAAAGAGAAATGACAAGTTTTCCCCACTTACAAGCCACCTTAAAAGGTATCAGTTGTGGTCATCATTTTTCCAGCCTAGGTGAGCACTGCATTGATGTAAACAAAGCACTAGCATGAGGCCAACCATTCTTTAAACAATTTAAAAGCCTGAGACAGCAAACACTGCATGTAGTGCTTACTATGCCAATCTTATCCAAGGACAAGTCACAATGCAGGAGCGGGATGTAAGCTGGAAATTACTTTTAGCTTAATTACAATATAGAATGTATCTACAGCATGTTCTGTTCTAGTAGAAGCTGTATTGTGGATTTTATCAAGTTTATATAATAGTGTGCATTTGTTGGGGAAGGAGAGTCTTTACCTCAAATATGTCATTTGAAACAAAGGCATATTTCTAGATACAAAAATATTCAATTAGAAAAAAAATAAGATTTTAAAATTTCAAATGAAAAAATATTCAGAAGGATAAAAACAGACTTCTTTTGTACAGTTCATCAAAGCAAGCTCATTCATTTTCTTGGCAAAGAAATCTAGAGTTGGAGACAGTGACTGTGAGTAAATGAGTAGTAAAATATATTTTGGACTGTAAACACCTTTCAAAAGATTCTACTTGAAGCATCAAAACATATCCATGTAAAACAAATGATAATAAATACTTTCTTAAAAACTTTTCAACTATCTTGGGGATTCAATCCTCACTGGAAACTTTTTACTTTTCATTCCACGGTCACGTAGTGGGAGAAGATTCATCAGCTTCAATACTAGTGAACAACATATATATAGCAGTGCTGTGATCCCTGCTGGGCTTGATGAATACAGGCAGAACATGATGATTGCCTTAACAGCCCCTCTGCTTAACACCGGTTTCAATCAGCATGTTAAACATACCATGGTAACAGGGGAGTAAGGTCATAGGGAAAGAAGACGGTAACTGCATACAACCCAATCCTCCCTAAAATGTGACAGAGTTAAAAACTGGATCAAGCAGTACAATAGATTTCATTTGTCACACAGACCCACCTCTTTGATACATAAAAACTGAATAGAAAACTTGTGAGCTTTCCAGCACATCCCTTCTATCTCAGCATAATGCAATTTCAGAAGCTGGATCTTTCAGCTGCACTTGCGTCTAGAGAAGTTGTTGCACTGATCGAAGAAACAAGCAATCTTTTGCCTAGCAGAGTGTAACCAATGCTCAGAGACAAGTCCACTGTCCTGTCTGTATGATTATGGTGAAGTCAGGTAATTTATGAACGTTCCCATCTGTGTATTCATTTTTAAATCATATTTAAGAAACAAAATAAAGAGAAAATCATGTATAAGTCTTAAACAAGTACTTTTCCCAATGCATACTTTTTATGGCTTACCTGTCTTGCTAGAACAGCTAAAAAACAGCAATTGGAAATCTCTGAAGGTTCCATTTTGAAAAAAATATCAGAAGGGCCCTCTATTTCTGAGTTGCACCACAGAGAAGGACTAAGTCTGTAAATATTACAAACAAGACTTGTAATTTTAAAATGTAAATAAATAAGGAAACTAAAAATCAGCTGAGTACAGCACACAGACAAACTTTTCTTACTGACATGCATTACATTTTAGACACCCTGTTACTCATTTAAAAATACAATTATGATTAAAACAAAAATTTACTGATAGAATTTTAAATAATTTATATTGTCTTTACCAACAACAAACCTGTACTGAAATAAACTTTTGAATGTTCGCTATCACATTTTCATAAACTCACTGAAATTAGGTCCAATTATTAAACAAATCACTGTGCTTTGAGTATATCAAGACAGTGAAGATGTTGATCTGTATTAAATACAGACACATTAATTCAAATGTATTAAATATATTTTTCTTTGTTAATGGGACAATATCAAATTATATATTATAAAAAGTTCCTTGCGTGTGTAGCTAGAACATTTAAAAACTAAAAAATTTAAAATCTAGACCCTGATCCTCAGGTTCATTAGGCTGTTTTGAAATAGCTGCACTGAATATAGAGACAGTGGTATATTGACTCCTATGTCAACTTTCTCCTTGCAGATTCCAGGACCATTGGCAGCCAGTGTAAATTAGAGCAGCCATTAAACTGCTCAAACTTACACCGTGGTATGAGACTGGTCTACTGGACCAAAAGCCACCTTTGTACCACCTCCTCCTTACCTGTGCCATGGGCTTCTCCAACTGGTGATCATCTAAGGAAAAGCACTTCAGTACAGAGCACTGGATTTGATATCAAGGAGTATATGGAATCAATTCTCCAATACATGTACCTTTGAATAATGCTTAAGGTGGGCATGGTATATCTAACAAGAGTAATACCACTAGGACTCCCTATAACATATTAACTGAGAAAAACTGAATAATTTTGCTACATATGCAGAAGCTAACCTAAACTTGGCATGGTAGTCTCTGAAGAGCCAAAAATGGAAATACACCAACTACTTAAGAGTCTTCATCTGAAAACAAATGGTCACAAAGCACACCCTAAAAGGAAACATGGGTTCAGATGCTGCATGCTGCTCAGAGCGGGTCAAGAGCACAGAGGGGACAGGTATAACACCTTTCCAACAATTCAGTCCTAAGATGAGCACATGTTGGCCCAGAGTCCCACCACAAAACAGCAATCTGAAGGAAAGCCTCACTGAGGGACTCCTTAGGCACCCATATCTGCCAGGTTGAAGTCTACTTGCTGGAGTGACACAGAGATATAACAGACCAGAGAATCAAACCTATGGCAGTTTCTGAACTAGTGGTTTCCTGAACCCTTGAATCTTTTGTTTAAGAGGAAATCAAATACTGAATAAAGTCACCATCTCTAGATCAATGATCTTCCCTAACCAGAAATCTTTGCAACTGTTCCTTTCACTTTTGTTCTCTGTGCAAATTTTCCAAAAGGAGAGAATATTTTGCTCCTCAGCATAGACAAGATCAGAGTAGATTTAGCAACAGCACAGATATTGGACTGTTAAATTATCATAGCCTGTTCCCCTCCAGCTGCAAGTTCTCCCCCATCTGATCATAGGAGTTGGCAGTTCTGCAGCAGAATTTCTTGATGAATTCTGCACTCTTTGAAAGTGTGTATTAAAAAAAAAAAAGATTATTAGAGTCACTATTTCTCAAGGAAAACAGCTCAAGAAAATGGTCATGAATAAAACATTTTAATACATTTGGGTTTGAAAACTTTTCCAATTTATGAAAACAATCACAGTATATATTTTATTTAAGCTATGCCATTATTACTTTGCTCATGCAAATTACTAGGAGTTCATAACTATGCATTAAAACATGCAAAATATAGTTACCTATAAGGTCCTCAGGATATAATATTTTCCTTCTTCCAATAAAGGAAGCATTGTTTCCAGAGTCATTATTTTGAATTTTTCTTAGTTATAAAGTAGTTTAGGTATGTGATATCCAAGGTGAGTTTTATCTGCCCTTGCTTTCTTAGGATTAGGAAGCACCTTAAACTTGTGTAAAACACTTTTCTTTTGGCTGGTGTAATGGGTTCCATAATATTTTAGGGAAAGAATTATCAGAGCGAGTTTGTTTTTTCTGACACTTAGGTCTCCTTTTGAGGATTTGCCACAATACTGCTTTATAGCAATGAACACTGCTATGGCTGTACGTGTCCAAGGTGATTCAAAAGACTGCTGGGTTTCAAAGTCCCTCTTTTTCCCACTTTGGAGACAAGAAGTGGCAGGACTTCATAGCCCTTCAAATCCCAAAGGAACAAAAACAATCTAAAGTCTTGAGGCCCATGTTGGTTTTTGGTCCATTGGTTTTTGACATTGAACCTATGGCTACTGATGTAGAATAGTTGTATAAGGGCTCCCTTTCACCAGGGACATTTTTACAATAGGAAAATGTATTATGTTCTAACATGTCTTAATTAGTAAAATACTCAGACAAGGATGGCTGTGTTAAAGTCATCTACGTTAGGGTTGGCCATGATTAGCTAACAATTTCAATCACTATGGGCCCTGTCTAAACTGAATCCTAAGTACTACTGTACATTTTGCTACTTAACACGTTTTCTAATACTATATGTACGGCCGCTGTCAAGAGGCTCTTGGAGAGTGCCTAGATAATCAAGGGTGGAAATATGGTATCATTTTCATTTGCCTCTGGCAAAGTAGCATCCCCTACCTTTTCTCCTAGGGCAAGTTTTGTTATTTGCATTTATATACAAAATAAAAATAATCACTGTAATTATTTACATTTCTGTATTGTGATTTACCCCTTCAACTCACAAGTGGGTACAGAAATCTTTTTAACCATTATAGTAGCTGGAAAGGATAGTTTGTGTTCTAAACAACCATTTGAAATACCGAGACTCCTTCGAAAAAGAGCTCCAAAATCCAGGAGAGCTGACTAAGCCTGGCATCATCCTTAGAGTTTCATGACAGTTTTCTATGGAGAGTCTCAGATAAGAGTTTAAAACACAGGTCCTCTCACCTATGTATGGACATTAAAGATACCATGACACTTATAAGTGGAAACTTGCCCCAACATCCTTGGCCAAAATTTCTCCTTCCATACTTCTGTGCAGCAGGGTATGTATATGATTATTCCTACTCTCAATTCCAATGCAGTGAACTAGAGTGGTGCCAAAAGTGTTTTGGTTTGTGAAGGGCTTTGCAATCCTTTTGTATGCTTTCGGTGTATGTAAACCAAGTAAAATACTACATGTGAAATAAACAATGTTAGTGCAACTTCTGAGCACTGCCTGCAGCAATATCTAAAGCCCACATTAGTGTCGAGATAGCAAGAAAAAACCGATTTTAAGAGTCTGCATGCATATCTGGAAACTGGGCATTTTTTTCCAAAGACAGCAGGGTTTGAACCTGTGTAACTTGGATGACTTTACACACTGATAGCAACTCTCATTTTTAAAAAATAATTGTGATGTTAAGCTATTTTTTCTTTGCTGTTTGATCTTCTAGTTACTCTCTGACAAGTTTATGCCTAAGTTCCCTGGTCTCAAACCTGATTCAGTTTAGCCTAGTTTTCTCCCTGCTCCTGTTGGTAGTGAGAAAACAGTACAGTACTCCTATACCACCAGTCCAGTACCACATCATTTCCATTCCAGTAATACTCTACTCCCCACTCTGCCAGAATGCTGATCTGAGAGTCACTGTGCAATCAGATCAGCAATCTGGGAGCAATGCACTTTGCACTTCCACATTACCAAAAGGAAGGGCAGGTGGCAGAAAAATATTAAACATTGCCATGATGCAAGAGAAATTGAGAGGTCATGGTTTAGGATAGAAGCATGATTCTGAGGGGTAAAAATCCTAGCTAAAATATGGCCAATGGTCTAAGTGTGAATAACAAATTGTACAATTTTTTGCCAACTTTTTGGATTACTAAAAAGACAAATCTACTAAATCACATACAGTATTTGACACTTTTCCTGGTCTCACCTCTAAACTGGTGTTAGACAACCCATACATACAACATACAATACACAACTTTGGGATTAAACTAAGGACAACTCTTGTCAGCTTATCTACCCCTTTTCATAGGACACTATATAGAATAAGGTAGAATACAATATTAGAATGTTTAGTAAGGACTGTAATAGATTTGCTAGAGTAAAAGTAAGGGTACGTTTGAAACCATGCTCTGAAGCTGATTTACAACACACAAAAATCAAAAAATGGTTTAATTCACAACTACTACATTTTAACTAATTTACTGTATGTGTTCAAATCTCACCTATGGAGAGGATAGAATTTAGACTGTTTTCCTTTGACTCATCCTATCAGGGAGCAGGAGTCGGAGTGTCTCACTATGTCCTTGAGACAGGAAAAGGAAATCAGCGCTCTAAGCCTACAGGAGTCTTATGAGCTTTGGGGATCTCAGGACACCTGCAGAAGCCTGGTTGCTTCCGAGCCGCATGGAAGCAGACCAGACAACTGGGTCCTATATTTTGAAATGGACATCTTGGAAAATAAAATCAACTTGGCTTCCTAGCTAAGAAGCAAGTTCATTAAACATGACTGCCACATAAATTGGAATACTTACTTATAGAGAACAGATAGTTATATTATTTATGATTTGGGAGAGAAAAAAGACAGCAGAATCCAGCTTTACTTAAATTACTCGTCATTTAGATTTAAGAAATAATCTTCAAAGGTCCATACAATAGACATCTATGGTAAATACTCAGCCAACACAACTGAGCAAAGTTAAAAATGGAAAAATGTAGCTAATGCCTTTCTATGTTTTTTAGTATTCCTTAGACAGGACTATTTATTCCTTACCTATAAGGCTGTGCTTTACTTCCTTCCACTCCAGATTCCAGTGCTTTGTTCAATACTGCGTCATTTTCTTCTGGATAAACTGAACAAGTGCAGTAGACAATGGCTTGCACTTTATTAACTATAAACATGCAACAAAACATTTTTCTAGTTTACCATTTTTGGAATAAGGAAAGCAATTTAAAATTCAAAAATATACGATTTTTTAAAACATATTTCTGTTTCAATTGTTATGAAAATCATTGGAAAGTTATCAAATGAATAGTGAATATGCAGAAATATTCAGTGAATGATCAGATCATAGAAGATATTAAATCATCCTTTCCATCTCTCCCCCCCCCCAAGACAAGTTAGTATATTTCTAGTAATCTGTCCAATGTATTTTAAATTTTCAAAGCAACGGAGTTGCCAGCACATTTTCCAGCTATACCACATTCTAATACATTGCATTTCCAGGAAGTTTTTATTGTTATTGAGATTACATTTTTCCTTTTCAAAGTCATCCTTTTACATATAGTAATACCCACGTGTGCCAACCTAAATAATTTCTCTCCAGTGCTTTTTTATTTAAATATATTTTAAATATTTGCAGACTTAGGCACAAATCCAGGCCTGTGTGTGAGCTGTGCTCATGCTACTAAGAACAGAGGGAGGAGGGGAAAATGGGATAGATCAAAGAGGGAATTACAGTAGAACCTCAGAGTTACGAACACTTTGGGAATGGAGGTTGCTCATAGCTCTGAAATGTTTGTAACTCTGAACAAAACATTATGGTTGCTCTTTCAAAAATTTACAACTGAACATTCAGTTATTACAGCTTTGAAACTTTACTATGCAGAAGAAAAATGCTACTTTTAACCATCTTAATTTAAATAAAACAAGCACAGAAACAGTTTCCTTATCTTGTCAATTATTTTTAAAAACTTTCCCTTTTTTTAGTAGTTTACATTTAACACAGCACTGTACTGTACAGAATTTGCTTGGGGGGGGGGGGAGGGAGACTCTGCTGTCTGATTGGTTCCGAATGAGGTTTGTGGTTGACCAGACAGTTGGTAACTCTGGTGATCGTAACTCTGAGGTTCTACTGTAATCCACTTCCCAATCCTGGGGCCATGACTAAGCCTCCAGGCAAGTTCCCAACATAATGACTGTAGCCTCAAAGCTGTTATACTATGGGCTTGCTATCATCAGCCCCTAAAGGCTAGTCTGGGGAACACTAGAACATAGGGATCCCCTGTTCATGCCTCCTGCCACGGGGACAGGAGGGGATGGAAGTGCAGGTAGTGCTAGAATGACCCTATGCCACTTTAAGAAATCCCTGGCTGTCTAGGGGAATCTTTGTCAACGGTCACCTTTCTGCTGCCAGATTGGCACAAAGCAGCTGGAGCAAGTACCAAGATTTGGGCCTTAGTTCTTCCTTAGCCACCACATTGGCCAAACTGTACATGTTTAGTCCTTCTAAGTTGTTCCACGTGAATCTGTCTCTCCACATTCTTTGTTTTTCTTCTCTGAACCTCCAATTCATGTTTCTGGGCATTATAGATCCCATGAATTGAAGTCTCTTCCAGGTGCTGTTACACCAGAGCAACAAACAGAGACAGACATGCAATGTCTAGGCACTTATACCACAAAAACCATGGCTGCTGTATCACACTTCAAGTGCATTTTTAATGTGTGATTAATTATTACGGTTTATTATTTGTACTACCATGGCACCTATCAGCCCTATGCCCAGGCTACATTTACAGTTTAGGCGGACATAGATACAGTGCTCAAGGGTGTGAAAAAAAGCTACACTCCAGAGCACCATTGCTATGCTGACCTAACCCCGGTGTAAACACAGTTAGATCAATGAAAGAATAATTCCATCAACTTAGCTACCATCACATGGGGAGATGGTGTTCCTACAGCAACAGAAAAACTCCTTCCATCCCCACAGGCTGCATCTAACACTATAGGGTTATGCTGGCATAGTCACGGCCCTGCAGCTATAGTCCCTGTAGCATAGGCCCTAGTCATGGGCACGGCCCCATTGTGCTACGCACTGTATGAATGAAGAACAAAAAAATGGTCCCTGCCCTGAAGTTCATCCCTAGGGCTCTTCTGCTTCACGAGACTTTTCCTCCAACTAAATAACGTTTTGGATATTTTTCTTTAGTTTGAATATTTCCATATCCTTCAGGTCTACAGTGCCCTCATTACTCTGTGCATGCAGTAATAGTCTGATCCTGCAAACACTGCTATGTGTGTGTAACTTTCCTCACATGACTTGTCTCATTGTACTTAAAAGTTATTTCCATGCCTACATGTCTACAGGATTGCCACACTACTGTGGGGAAGCAATAAACTGCTACATACAACATATGCTTCTGTTTACCAACTTCTGAGCCTTTTTTTAGTTACTCTTGATTCTTTGTCCCAGATCCTCAAAGGCATTTGAGGCACCTAAGTCACACTGATTTCAATGGGAGTTAGATGCCTAAATATTTCTCAAGATCTGGGGCTTCGTCATTTTTATTTACTACTTTAGTTATTGCAAGTAACTTTTCAAAAGCATTTAAGTCCCACTGAAAGTCATAGGGAATTAAGTGCCTTTGAAAATTTTATCCTATAATTATATATCACTTTACTACTGAAGCTGGTAACAGGAAAAGGATCCTAACCTTATTGGCTGCTTTACCGGCTTTTACGTTCTTCTCTAACTTCGGCGCATGAAACAGGTAAGGAGGAAGGACTTAGTACCACTTATATAAATGTTGAGAGAAGGAAACTGAGGTAATAAATTTATTCACAGTAGACTATATGAGGTGGACATTACTTTGAGGACGTGGTACACATTTACTGTTGAAGATTTAAAGTAAGAAATGCCTATTTTTTTTTATACACTGCATCAAATTATGGTCATGTTTTCACAAACTTGAGAGAAAACAGACTTACATCGCATTGCGTGCATTAACTCCTGAAGCTGCCTCTCAGCAAGAATATGGAGTTTATTTTCAGCTACAGATCCTTGAGAAAGGTCTCTCAGCAATCCTGCATCTGAATGTAAAGTTATTAAAACAATAGTCAAATTCATTTTTACATTTAAAACTCGTGTTTATATTTTAAAATCCATTTGTTTTCACTGAAAATTCTCTATTAACAGACATGATTACTGTTGATGTAGTGAAAAATAAAATGTTACTATGTTATTTCTCAGTATTTAAAGAAGATTTTGTACAGTAAATCCACTTAAATCACAAACATTTAGTCCATAAGGGGATATGGTCAACTGAAAATGAAATGCTTGACAATATCTTAAATCTTGAAACAAGTGTTTTATTTGTGACATATTTCTTTTGTGAAATAGACAACATACAGTGAACACTCAATTAGGTTTATGAAGTTGAGCATTATTCTATTTAATTAACTTGAAACTATTCTTAGAGATTTCTAACTGGTCTCCGAATCCTGTAGTATCATCAAGAGCATTACCACAATGCTTGTTTCTTTCTTGGACATCTTGAATTTTCAAATGCAAATCAGAACTAAGCAAAAAATCTTTTCATTTGTTTGGCTTCTCTGGTTAAATGTCTCTCTCATTATACATTGAGTCCTGAAAAACACCGAGCACACCCTTAACTCCCACTGAAGAGGGATCTTGAGCCACAAAGATTGGCCCTGAACCAAAAAGTCTGAAAAAATAATGAAAGTCTTTAGTCACAGTTAAGTATCACCACATTTTGTTTTGTCACAAATGTAGTGACATATTGTGACATACACATTGTGAAAAGTAAAAAATTGAAAATAAATTGAAAAAAATCCAAACCCACAGACAAAAATTAGGATATATTTAAATCTGAAAGTGCTCCCTGTCTGAGGTAATAACCTCAGCTAAGTAAATTCAAGGTTGAAGGTTTCATGTCCCACAAAATGGTTATTATTGAGCTAACAGAAACAGAAAGAACTCTATTATACTGAAATGTGTCTACATCCCCTCTAGGCTTCTTTTCTATTCCTCCTCATCCCATAAGCAAGTTTTAACCCTCACTTCTGCTAGGAGATATTTAATTTCAAACTGCATTAATTTTGACTCCTTAGTTCCCTGACCCCTTTCAAAAAGTATTAGTAATTCACCAAGCTAGTAATTCCCCACTGAATGGGGAATATGAAGAACTCTCCCACTGGAAGGAAGAACAGGAGGAGAAAGGACCTCGCTGGTTGTGAAGTGCAGACGAGAAAAGAGTTTGAAAAATGCCAACAACTTCATCTGTCAGCAGCAATTCACACATTATACTAAGTTTTCTAGCCTTTATTTTTGTCACAGTCTAAATGTTAAAAGTTAGGTACTTCGTGTGATCTGTCAGAGTAAGGTCCAGATTTAAATATTAGCTGATTCCATCTGATGAGTAATATGAAGTACTTCAAAGAACCCAGATTCTGTTTAAACACAGTATTGTTCAATTAGGTTTTCCTATATTTCTCATTGTTTTTTTTTTTTTTTAAATTAGGATGGGCATGTAATTAAGAGTTTCCTGTTTCATTTAAGATTTTTTTTCCCCCTTCTGCTAGTTTGTACTAGGAAAAAAAAATTTTCAGTGAACAGTAAATTTGCCAACAAATGCATTCTTCAGGACACAAACTATTTGCAAATTCAAGTCAAATTTGGCAACTAGTTTCTGCTAAAAATTTTTTCGAAAGTATCAGAACAGTTTGTTTTGACATTTTTGAATTAAACCTTTTGACATTTCATTTAGAAAATGTTGTTATGAATTGACATTCCAAACGTTCAACCTAAACAAAGTTTACGTTTTGAGTTTCAGTGAGGGGGGGAAATCAGTTTCAGTGTGTTTTGGTTTGGCCCTTGAACCAAAAAATCAATTATTCATTCAGCCCTTCTGCTGATCTCAAAAGTTGTAAACCTCCTTTTAACAATTGTTTTTAAGCTAGCCAATTTTGATATAATAAACAAAGATGAATTCTCCACTTGATGTCATAAGTGCAATACCAGTTGGACTCTTAAGAAAATAAGTTTCTTTTTCATGTCCATGTCCTGAAGAAACAGGGATAAGATTTTGTCAAAGCACAGTCACAGTAAAAAATAGGTAATTTCCTTCTATGGTCCTAGAATCATAGAAATGTAGGGCTGGAAGGGACCTTGAGAAGTCATCTAGTCCAGCCCACTGAGTTGTGGCAGGACCAAGTAAACCTAGACCATCTCTGACAGGTGTTTGTCCAACTTGTTTTTAAAAACTTCCAATGATGGGGACCCAACAATCTCTCTTGAAAGCCTATTCCAGAGCTTAACTACCTTATAGTTAGAAAGGTTTTCCTAATATCTAACCTAAATCTCCCTTGCTGTAGATTAAGCCCATTACTTCTTGTCCTGTCTTTAGTGGATGTCAACCTTGTGGACACTGCTGCTGCATATTCACCCTTCATTAATTTGTTTTGATCTAGTCTTCTTTGAAACAAGATTAGAACAAAGCAAACAACCTGTTAATCAGTGCTCAAATTATATGAGGGATTGAGGGGACGGGGCTGCCCTTCCACTCTGACTCCCCTCCACCACACAGACCCCTCTTCCCAGTGCAGAGCTCCTAGAAAAGGCAGGACTGAGTCTCTGCCCCCTTTATCCCCCAGGTTCCCTGCAGTGACAGCTCTCGTTCTCTGCCTTCTTTCCCCCTTGCAGGTTCCTGGGTCCTCTACCTCCCAGTCCCTTCTGCCCCCAACTTGCCTGATCCTCAACCCTTCTCTTTCACCAGCTTCCCCAATCTGCCTCTCCCTTCTCTCTCCCCAGCCTATTGCTGGAGAAGGAATGGTCAGGATGGGACACAATAGACTTAAACTAATTTCTGCCAAGCAACTGGGCACTGCCCTTCACTTTCTGATTGGCTGAAGGCCCTTCTCTACAGTGGGAGGTCAGAGCCTAGGATGTGCCAGTGAAGTGCTAAGCCTGGGCAGCAGGTCCCAGTACCAGGAGAGAGTGTAAGGAATCAGGGGAGCTAAGGAAACAGGGCAGAGAATGGGAGCTGCCACCATAGGGGATGGGGGGGGGGGAAGACAGCCCTGCCCCTTCTAGGAGCTCCGCACTGGGGAGAGGGAGGTCTGTGGGGGTGGGGGAGTTAGAGTGGAAGTTGGAAACACAAGGCTAGGGGAGGCAGATGGGGTTTTAGATGCAGAAGTGGAGCTAGGGGTGGTTGGGTAGGTGCAGAAGTCTGGGGGAGGGGCAGGGAGGCAGGGGCAAGGGCAAAACGCAGACAGGAGTGTAGGGGTGATGGGGAGAAGGAGGAGGCTGCTTATCAAAGCCAACTAATGAACTGTTCATGTGGACCCTGCTGCCCTGCATCAACAGGGTCCTTTCAAAGAGGACTAGATCAAAGCAAACTAGCAAACTGGGTTCATATAAATGTCAAAATTCACAGTTCTGTGACAGTTGCGACCACAGTAAAAGATTCATATCCCTATTATTAAGAAAATGAGGGGAACGAGTATATTATTGACCCCGAAGTGAAAACTGTTGATCACATGCTGTGTATATATTATTGTAAAACAACAAGATTAATACTGAAACAAAATCAGGATATTAAAAGTAATTATATTTCTATAATTAGGGATAAACTTTGACCAACATAAAAACATCTTAAATATATGGCTTAGGAAATCAACATACCTCTATGGAGTAGCTGTTCTACCTAATTTATCAAAGTACTAAATATACCAGGAGACATTTTAGAGGTATTTATTTGGCCAGTATGATGCGCAGCCAAGATAACACAGCTGTTGGAAACTGACTCTCTGCAATTCATGACTAATCTTGCACTCTAATTATTCAAAATTAAGATAGTCTGAAATTCCACTATTCAAAAAATTCACAATTCCTAATTTTCAGATTTGACCCCCTACCACTTCCAGTAATCAGCATTCATCTGTCTTTGCGATTTTAATTGAGTAACTGTCCCATTGTATTTATATGGTATGTTGCAATTATACATGAGGAGTATTCAAAGTATCATTCATAGGATCTATATTTTTGTTAGCTGAAATTAAAAAGAGAATTTGAATAATACTATTATTCGTATCATTGTAGCACCTGTAGCCTCCAGTGAAGAAATAAGACACTTGTCTAAGGCATTGCACAAAGAACAACAAAATTGTCCCTGCCACACTAACAAGTTAAACTTAAAGAAAATAAAAACACAATTGGTTAATTATACTGTAGTATCAAAATTACCTTCATGTTCATTTAGAATAAATTCTATTGGATTACTAACACCCAATCCCGAGCACCGAGGTAGCAGCAAAATAACTTTAGCCTTTTGCAGTCTTTGATCTGTTGGTTTAATATCAGTAAAATCCTCATGTAGTAGCTCAATGTCTGAGAAACAATGAAACACTGAGAGCTTAATATGAAAGCAATCTAGTAAAATTTTAATCTAATAAAGCAAAAATCACATTGGCATTATGCTAATTTTACCTAAAACAGTTTGTGTCTACCATTAAAATATGAATGCTTATAATTAAAATGCAGTTACTTATCAGTTACTAGACTTTTCATATTCTATTATCTCTACAAGGGCCTGGATGGGTGCCCTGTAGGGAACAGTGTCATATAATTTAAGGCCACAATGAACCACCAGCTTATCTAGTCTGACTGCCTTCCTACTACAGGCCACAAATACTACCCAGCACTCACACACTGAACCCAGCAACTCAAATTAGACCAAGGATTTACAGGTTTCAGGAGACTAAAGTATTATGTTTAACTTTAGGCAGAGAATAGGACGGACTGAGAGACACCAATGCCCGAGGCCCCTGCAATGGCAGGGACTTGATTAAGTGAGGTATACCCAGATGATCCTGGCAAGCAACCCAGGATGCAGAGGAAGGGGAAAACACCCTAAGGTCACCACCAATATGACGTGGGGGAAAATTCCATCCTAACCCTATATATGGCCATCAGTGAGATCTTGAGCACGTTAGCAAGAACCAGCCAGCCAAGCAACTGAGAGAGAGAATGCCTGGTACCATCTCAGGGCACCAGCCCTCCTCATTCAGTGTCCCATCTCTAGCTGTTGCCATCTCTAATGTTTCAGAGGAAGGAAAGAAACAAAAAAACACCTACACAGCATACATTGGGAGTGGGGGGGGGGGGTTAATGTCCCTTCCTGATTCCTTGAGGTGAGCAGCTGAAAGCCCTGAAGTGTGAGATTTAGGAACACCAAACAAGACCCTCAGGACTGCTGGGTCCTGCTGCCCACAAGGAACCCCATCATATAATCGCACTCATAATTTGTCCAGCTCTCTCTCAAAACTAGTTTAGTTGTTTGCTCCCACAACTCCTATTGGGAAGCTGTTCTAATTTCCAGCCTGAAGCTGTTCATGGCTAGTTTATAGCCGTTTGTTCTTGTGCCAACACTGTCCTTTAGCTTAAATAGTTCTTCACCCCCCACAATGTATATTTATAGAGAGTAATCATATCCCCTCTCAGCCTTTGCTTTGCTAGGCTAAACAAGCCAACAGGCAAAGGAGAGAGAGAAAAGAGGCACTTATGGCACCTGGGAGTGTGAGGAGGGAGGGGCCAACTATCACCTGAAACAGAGTACAGATGGACAGAGAGAGAGAAGAGGAGAAGGAAAGGAGTTGGAAGAAGGGACAGAAGGATATAGATGGGGAGACAGGTAGGGAGAGAGAATGGAGCAGAGGACACAATCAGGACAAGGGGAAGGGGAAAAGGCAAAAGAAAGAATAGAAATTCTCTCCTCATGTGGCCTGCTTTGAGCATTATTTCAGTTGCAGTTTGTGTTTCTCTGTACAGGCCAAGTATAATCTCTGAAGAGTTGACTAAGAATTGGGAATCTCATGCATGCTTGTACTTTAAAAAAAACTGAACTGTAAAATATTTGATGTCCTTCATTTCAAGGTGTGTTGTTCCTCACTGCCCCTCCTTCAGAGTCCATGTGTTGAGAGGTATACCTTAGCAGGAGACTCTGCCTTGCAAGACAGCTGTATGGGGGGTTTAGGTTAAATCCCAACAGGGCTTTTTAGAGACATAGCTAAGATTGACTCTCTGAGCAGAGCATATCAGGTGCAGCTGAACTCAGAAGAAGCAGCAGATTGCAAAGACACCAACTACAGGCAGTATATCACATTGCAGCAAAGTTTTCAAGTGATCTAGGGGCAATGTTACTGGACTCCAAAAGGAACGTCGTAGCCCTCTTATCCCTCAAAAAGAATCCTGTGAAATGAGGCTTTGAGGGTACAAACTGGGAATTTTCTGTACAAGTCTCTCTCTCTCCCCTACCACACAAAAAAGACTCACTACTTATTTGATAAATTGGTGGGGAGTGGGATTTACTAGACTTGTCACTTAATTTCAGTTGCAGCAACAGAATTTTTCATGGGATTATGACAGAGCATGGGAACCTCTAATTGACTTAATTCCTTAAAAACAAACAAAAAAACGATACAAATATGTATCTAACTCTGCCCTGATGGTGCATGAATGAGAATACTGACAGACATTTTTAAATACCTGAAGGACTTTTTCTAAATATATATTGTACCAGAAACATTTTAAAAACATTTTTGCTCAACTGAAGAGTAAGCTTTAAAATGTGGCAGAATTACCTGGGATCTGGAAATAACTGTATTATTAAATAAATGCTTAACACATACTTCCACATTCCATGCGTGTGAACAGCTCCTTCAGTTCAACTTCCTTTGCCTGCGATTTTACGCCACATACAAAAACTTTGGATGTGCTCTGATTTGACAACACTGACATGTGGGCAGCAGTCAGCCGTGAACCCATATGAGCTACTATGATGTCATCATCCATGTTTAATAAGGCCTTCACAGAATGTACAGCGAGGCTGCGAGACTTATCCTGAAAGATAATACATGATGCCAGTTAAATAATTAAATATGGCTAATTAATAATTGGTAGATTTAGGTTGTTGAATTTTAGCTTCAGATTAATTTGGTTACTCCAAGTACTGTACTCTTTCCAACTAGACAGGTGTGTTCAGTTCCTCTTACCAATGAGTGGGGAAAGAAAAAAAAAAATCTTTATTTTGAAGTCTGTATGGCTTAGACTTAAAGATGAAAATACAAACCTCACTGATTCTAAATTTTAAAAAATGATAGATCATCATTCCAACGCCAACACACACAAAACGGTTGAGCTGTCAGTGGGCACAGAAGAACGGGAGAAACAGATAGGTATGTCGGTCATCCCTTGCAAGGGGGAACTCAATCATTTCAAATGCCTGAAGTCAGCCTCGTCCAATTTGAGGTTGGGGCATACCTCTTTTACTGTGGAAAAGGACCTGTTTTATTCATATGTCATGGAGGCAAATGGAACCTTGTTTTCTGATGACTCTAGGAAATAGTACTGTTCACCCAATATGCCTTTTTTAGCAATGACCTGAGATGACATTAGAATCCTCTTTTAAACTTGATTATCAGTGCAACGTCCACTAAGCTTCCCCTTTCAGAGGTGAATCCTCACATCACTACAGTATACTGATGGCCTAGTATAAAGGTAGAACGAAGACAAGTAGAGAACATGTTACAAGTCTTGTGCTGAATTTGACTGTGACAAACAATTTTAAATAAACCTACACAGTAGCTTTGCAGGAGGTGAAGAAGAGTTTCATTGCCTCCATTATAGCATCTGCAAAGTTCTAATGAGCAGATCTGTTCTGGATGTTGAACAACTTTGTTAATCTGCATCATATCAATAACAGAGATGAGTTTTTCCCAGGAGGAGTTATTTTGCTGATAAAATCATTTAGATTAGGATCATGCTACTGGATACTTTTGTCGGAAGACCATGTGTCAGGAGACTCAGACTATTACTATAGTTGAACATCAGTATCTCATTTAGACAGGGCAGTCTTATTCTGTAGCTGTCTTATTTAATATGTATATGGGGCCTTTATGAGTGTTATAAATATGGGGCCAAGATTTTCAAAAGTGACTAGTGAGCAGGCCCTTTCAAGGTTCTCAAAGCTGTGCATTCAAAGTCACTCATCACTTTTGAAAATCTTGACTATAGGTCATGTTGTCTTCAGTACTAAGGCCTTAGGTGCTGTGGAGAGCCAAGGAAAAGGTCCCCCACATGCATGTGATCATGTGGACTTTTATAAAGTGCGTATTGCTATTTCAAACAAAAAGGCTGATTTAGTGCCGGAACAGGATAGCAGCAGAGCTGTTGTATTGGGGCCGCACATCACCTATGTACTGTTGTAGGGATCTCTGCACCAGCTTTGAATAGGCTGGCATGGAGGTGATGCTGAGGGCAAGCCAGGGGAAAAGCCACTGGAGTTTCTGAAGCTTCAGTGGTTAGGAACCCCTATGCATGCACTATGGAGGGGGACTGGCCACTATCTTAGCCTAGGGATATAACTGCAGCAGAGATGTCAAAAACATTAAGATGCCATTATTTACCAACTAGAGAATTTTTTTTCAAAAGTGCCTAAGTGACATAGGAGCTTAAATCCCTTTTTCAAAGACAAAAGGTTCTTTCTCATTTAGAAATGGGACTCTTATGCTTTTGAAAATTTTACCCATAGTCTCTATTAAAAAAAAGTTTTATAATAAAGATCTCAACTCAGACGTCATACTGATTGCATTGGAGCTATCACTTTGAGTCACATTTGCCGTTGAGAATGTTAATGCTTCCTAGGCTCTTCACTATAAAAAAAATTATCTGTAGTGTAATGCTTCTGTCAGGTGGAATCGGAAGCAAAAAGGGCCAGGTTCAATATCTAGGATTTCCTCTTAATACAAAACAGAACCGGCTTGAGTCCTCACCCAGTAATTTGGGGAAAACTTACGACCAGCCCAGAAACTTCTAAGAGACAATACTTCCCCATTCACAAACACTGAGTATGTGTATAACAAAAGAACTTTTATTAAAAGGGAAAGGGATCCAAGCATTAGTTTGGGACAACACCACAAAAACATTCAGAAGCATGCAGACATAAGCAAAAACCAACCCCACTGTGTGTGTTGGGCAGTGTTCTTTGCCGGTTTCCCACCTTGCAGTGGGAAAATATGACAAAAGAAATGTCTCTTTAACACACCACTGCTTTCTCCCTCTGCTGCACCCCATTCACAGCTGGCTGTCCTTTGTTAGTGATGACTCAGAGCTCGTTGAGGTGTTCAGAAAGGAAGGAGGGAGCAATGTCTCTGTGGCCATTTGGTGCCTCTGCAACTGGCTGTTTGCCAGTGCATCCACTGCTTTTCTCTGCTGCTGATCCTGTACAGCTGCTGCTTTTCTTTGCTGTGCTGGTTGCATGCGGTCACTATTGGACACTCAATGCCACGTTCTGAGGTTCCACGAATTAACACAGGTCTTTAGTGATTTCACTGGGTAGCAGGAAACCTCATTGCCAGTACAGCCCTTGCATCGTCTTTCCTTTCATCACTGTCCCTACCCCCTAGACCTTCTCAGGGATTCAACTCTAGTAATCATTGAAAAGAAACAATGACTCTCAATTGAGTCTCATTAGCTCTGTCTTTAAACACTAGAAGGGGGTGGTCAAATGGTGTCTAGGACTTTTTGGGCAGAGTACACACCAGCAAGTAGGACCACCTGTTCTTACCCCCATCTTCCACTGAGATTTGGCATTCCTACCCCCTGCTTGGTGAGTAAGGTTTAGTTTAGGGTGACCTCCTCAATCAGGACAAGCTAATTACAGTTCTGCTGCCCTTTACTTACACAATAAGAGTAACATTTAATTACCTCTGCACTCATTACTGAAATGATCTGTAACCCAACACCAGACAAAAGTGATCATTTTGGCAAAGCAGCTCCATCATGCTGCGTACCTAGGCAGAGTAGGTATGACTATACAAACTGTCTGTTCCTGAAGTCTTTTCCCCCAAGCTCAGCACCAGATGTCAGGGGAGAGCTCATTCAGACCCTGCTTACACTAGGAAGTTTGCAGGAAGTGCTAGTGCCTGGTTATTTATTTAGTCATAAAAAAAATTAAAACCATGCAATGTCTGAACAGACTATAATGTACAGCATCATCTTAGTTTGCAGATCAGATTATGAGACCCACTTCAGACTTATTTAGCTCACCTGTAAAATGAGTTTATAACTTGTGAAAAGTTCCAAATTAAGTATTTCTTCTTTGAGAGAGGCAGGAAAAACCAGTACATCATGGCAGTGTTTGTCCAGACAGTAAGTATAACCTTCAAAATCTGACACAGATTCAACTTTTGTGAATCCCTCTTTTTTCAATTCTTTGTAAATGTCTTCAAGGCTGTTAACAGATAACATGCATAACTCATAGTAATCCTGACCACTGAACATACAATGTTAATAACTAAAAATTAATTTGGAAAAATCTGGATTTTTGCCATAAAAAATATCATACAAACAGAACTCAGAGGTAGGATTTGACATTTCATACCAAATTTACTGCTGGTATAAACAGTTGCAGTTCAACTGACTACAGTGGACTCACATTCATTTACACCACCAGTGAATTTGTTGCTTAGTTTCTGAATCACCCTCTTGCGGAAAGATAATGCACGAATGAACATTAGGCAATTTGTAATTCATAATATCCAGGGTATAGTCATGCAGTTAAGTGTCGTGCACAAAAATCTCGCATTTGTTTTAATCTACTATTGTTTATATAGTGCCATAAATTTACACTGTACGTCGTAAAGAGAGGGCCCAACATGGCAATCTTTAGTCAGGTCAACTAACATGTATTCTGCCCAAGTACAAGTTGCAGAATCATGTTCAGAGTAAGACACATTCTCTGCCCTGAAGCTGTCAGTCTAAAATAGACATGACAGAACATCTGAGGTAAGGAGGGTTATGAAGAAATTACTGGTAAGGAAAAAAAGATGTGACAATAATGTCAAGTTATCCATCCTATCAGTTCTTTTAGTACTGAAATAAATACTAAAACTTATATTATTTACTGACATATATATAAAGAAGCATTTAAAGGAACACTGTCAACTAGAAAAAATTTTTAAAAAAATCAATTAAAAGTAGTTCTAGGTACTATACGTCCCTCCCAAAGCCCTTTACCAATTTTTGCAGTTTTAAAATACCATTTCTGGTTTTAATATTTTTTCCTCCACTTCGTTGCTATGTTCAAGACACACAAAAATAAATTAGGGAAACTGACTATGCAGAGGAAACAGTGCGGATGACTATATGCAAAAGATACATCTGTACTGCAGCTGGGAGAGTGCTTCTGAGCACATGCAGACAGACATGCTAGCTCTGCTCAAGATAGCATGCTAAAAACAGCAGTGTAGTCAGGGTAGCACAGGCAGCAGCTTGGGCTAGCTGCCTGAGTAAAAACCCACGCAGAACCCCTGAGTACATATTCAGGCACCTACCCTGACTATATATTCATTTTTAGTGCAATAGCTGTAGCGGAGCTAGCATGTCTGACTACCCACACTGGAACATGGCATTCCAGCACAGTGCAGATACACTCAAGGTGTTGTCAAATGCATCGAATAAGCAAATTGGAAAAAAAACAATAGAAAAGCTGTTATTTTTCCTCTAGCATCTTGTCAGTTACAAGTAACACTTAAGATTACTGTACCACAGTAGGTTAAAAAATGGCAGATGGAAGTGTGATGTTTAGGTCAATTGGGTCCTGTTAAGTAAACGTTGATTAGAAGAAATCCATGCCTTATAAGATAATAATGTACTATGCAAATTTTTAAAACAAATTCACAGAAGGGCAGTATACAATTTAATATGTATATTTCTATAATGAACATATGGAATGTTAATTTTACAGATCTTACCTGCTTTTTAATGTATTTATCCAAGCATACAAAGGTAAAGCAGAAGCCCTTTGTTCCTGTTTCCGTAGAGTTTCTGGTAGAATATATTCAATTGAAAGAGCATCATGTTTGATTCGACATCTTGCTAAAGCAGCAGCCAGTTTGGTCTTAAAACTACAAGTATAAAATGATAGCTTTACCCAGATTAGAAGATTTTAGCTCATTATGATGATGTAACATTTATTCTGCAGTAATGCCCAGAGGCCACAATCATGAGTGTGGTGCCATTTTGCTAGACACTATACAAAAATATAGTATGAAACAGTCCCTGCCCCAAGGAGATTGCAGTCTTAGCCAACATGCATAGCTGAGACTATATTACTTAAGCATACAACTGTCTCAAATTGGGCCATGTCTCACCCTGACCTCCTGAATTTCAGCTTCTATTTTAAAAAAGAAAGGAAGTGCGTAGCTGTTATGGGTAAGAAGAAAACCTTGAAAACATGATGCACTTGTAACCAAAGGCAATGAAATCTGAATTTCCAAGGAGTCTGAAACAATAGTTTTTAAGAAGTGTTAACTGCCTCATTCATAAATGGTGTGTTAAGTCTAATGCCCAATGCTTGATCAAAGCACACAAAAAAGTCGAGGGACTAACATACTGTGAGTGATATCATTTTGCTGTCACAAGTGGTCTTTTTGTCTCTAAAGTACTTAGAATATGTTTCAACTGGAGCTGGAAGGTATAATTTCCAGTTCAAGGAGACATATACACCCAAGCTCTGACTATGTACCCAGGGTCTTGGACAGGATTGTACTCGCGGCAGCTAGCCCATCCAGCTGCTTGTGCCGGTGCAGCTACACTTCTAATTTCAATAGTGAGACCATATTCTCCCACGAATCCAGTGACTTTACTAAGTAAATATACTGCAGAGGGAATGACTTTGGCATTACTTTAAATATGAGACTTATCAGATTCTTTGTTCGATGTCTTATGAAAGTACCTCTAAAATAACCTAGAGGAAGTATGGTAGAGCAGAGTGCAAGGCTGTTAGGTGTTTTACAGAGATTCCTTAGTTCTTTACCATGCCATGCTCATCTTTCTAAATCTCTTTATTGAATGCTGGAGTAACGTTTTTTCATATTGACTTGGTCTTGGGTTTTCTGGATTTTTCCATCAGATAAGCAACAGAAATAAGGCACTACATTTTTACTTCCAAAGTATTCCATCAGCAGTTTTGACTAAATACAAGCTTAATCTTAACTTTAGGAATCCAGAAGTTTCTCTTTGAAACCAAATCATCTTTAAAGACACCCACGATGGCTTGAGATGAAAACAAAGGTTTACAATATTTGCAATTTTAAAAATCTATTATAGGTTATAAGTCTATATTTTTGCCCACTTAGAAAATTCCTTATAATATATACCTGTATAGATAACGTTCTATATCTCGGACTTCTGGTATTGATTCCTCTTCCTCAGAAATCTGTCGGGCTTGAAACTTTCGATCTTGGAGGTCATACAACATCACAACAATTAAACTGGTCAATTCATCTGGCTGCAATAGGAAAATAACCATGTAAAGAAATGGAAACAAAACAGGTCTCAATCATGCAAAGAGATCCACTTCCAACCCCTTACACTCACAGAAGATCTATGTCTTCAGTAGGACTACACGTAAGAGTCCACGTAGGTGGTTCCTTTAGGGAGATCACTATGTATTATGGATTTTAAGTACCTAACTTCTCATCAATAACACAGACTTTTATTAACTATTTTTATTGAAACACCCAAACTTTTAGTTCGCCATGGTGAAGAAAAAACTGGTTACATTTCTTTCCTTTAGAGGTTTTTAAAATTATAACTTTTCCGTCACCCTCCAACTATATTTTTCTCTTTTGTAGCAAATTGCAGATATATTAGAATGGCATTCCTCTTCATCCGGCTGGGAACAGAAAAGTTACAGTAGACAGCTGTATGTGTTAAACTGTTGGCAAAAGTGATTTTCCTGTTCATAAAGATCATTTCAGAAGTAGAATTTGACCGTTGTACAGTCAGTAATATTCAAGGTAAGAGAAGCACATAATACCTCCTTAATAGCTTTTCATTTTATTGCATAACATTCAAAACGTAAGTTTTTTCTAAAAACCACCATTCAACCACTGCTACCACACAAAAATTATTTCCATGCTGTCCTCAGCATTCTTATTAAAAATTTTCCACAACTGACACGAATTCAAAATCTTGTTGGAATTAGCAGGGGCATCCAGGATTGAATGGGCATGGATAGCAGATTACTTTCAGCCTTAGAGGTTCTCTCACCAGGTAAGAGTTGAGGCTCATTCTCAGGGTAGGGTGGCACTACTGCTGCCAAGCTGTACCTGTTGTGTGAACTTCAGTCCCCTGAACTGTAAATCAAATATCATTCATGTGCACTACATTCACACACAAGTTAAAGACAAAGGTAAGAAATGGTATTTTTTTTGTGTTGAGTACCATGTTTTTATTTTTATATATGAGTATAAGTATACAAAGTATATTAACTAGAAAAAAAAGGAATTGAGCCTCACAACAAACCCATGAATTAGGGAAATCTCTTTATTTTACTAATCGGCAGACTGAAGTGCAAAGATATTAAGTAGCCACGGTTTTCCAAACTTGAATATCTGAAGTCAGTCACCTAAAATCCATATTTAGGAACCTACATAAGTGTTCTGACTTTCAGAGGTGCACAGTACTGAAAGATCGGTTTGAAGTCATTAAGTCAATGGGATATGGAGATGCTTACCCCTTATTTAAATGCCTACATTTGGCTTTAGGTGATACTATGCTAAAATTTTCAAACCTGGGCACTTAAATCTCCTGTCTTAACCACAGTAATAACTTTGCTCCCTTAAAGTTCAGCTTAGCTTATTTAATACCCAGCATTGAGAATATGAAGGTTTAGGTTTTGTAAAGTAGACAGCTTTTAATACAAAACTGTAGACAAAGTTATTGATAACTTTATGAAATATTATGATCAAAAGCTAACATCCAAGGAGCTTTCATTATTTCTTTGAATATAGATCATGAAATCTTAGAAATGTAGGCTTGGAATGGACCTCAAGAGGCCACATATTGCATCCCTGCCCGCCCACCCACCGCCTGCATGTCACAGATACAAAACCAGGATTAAATTAGACCACCCCTAACAAGTGTGTGACTAATTTGTTCTTAAAAGTGTCTCCAGAGAACCTGTTCCAGTGCTCAATTATCCTTATAATTTGAAAAATTCTCCCAATATCTCCCATATTACAAACTAAGCCAATTACTTCTTGTCCTACTCTCGGTGGACAGAGAGCACAATTGATCACTGCCATCTTTAGAACAACCATTTACATATTTGAAGACTTCTGTTTCACCTGTCTTTTCTCTAGTCTAATGAGGCCCCATTCTTCCAACCTGTTCTCATAAGTTGTTTTCTAAACCTTTTTTTTTTTTTTTTGGCTCACTGACACCTAAAAATGCAATGAGGAAAATTTCACCGGGGGGGGGGAGGGGAGGAGGAAGGAAAGAACCATAATTGAGGAGAAGGTTACTCACCTTGTGCAGTAACTGAGGTTCTTCTAGATGGTTGTCCCTGTGGGTGCGCCACTTCAGGTGTCTTGGTGCCCTGTGCTTGTAATCGGAGATTTGTAGTATCAGTGCCCAGGTTGGCCATGCATGCGTGGCAGCCGTCTTGCACCGCTCCGAGCATCTACCTAGTGTGCGCAGCCAACCGTCCCCCAGGTTCTTCTCTACCCCCTGAGGATCAGCGGGGGGGAGGGTAGTGGAGCACCCACAATGACAACCATCTTGAAGAACCTCAGTTACTGCACAAGTGGAGTAACCTTCTCTTCTTCTTCGAGGAGTGTCCCTGTGGCTGCTCCACTTTAGGTGACTGTTGAGCAGTGCCCCTCAGTGGAGGGAAGGGGCTTTGGAGTTGGTTTATGTACGCTGGATAGCGCAGAGAGTCCAAACTGAACGTCTGCAGTTGACTGTTGTTCTAAAATGCAGTGTTTAGTAAAGGTATGGGCTGAAGCCCATATAGCTACTTTGCAAATGTCCATGATGGGCACATTGTTAAGAAAGGCCACAGATGTCGACATTGCTCTGGTGGAGTGTGTGCAAACTTGGGAGGGAGCTGGCAGATTGTTGTTTTGGTAACACAACTGGATACATGTCGGTACCCATTTGGATAGTCTTTGTCTGGATATAGTTTGAACCTTTGATTATTCTGTTGTGGAGATAAACAGTCTGGATAATTTTCCAAATGTTTTTGTTCTTTCTATATAGAACGCTAGTGCTCTGCGGACATCTAATGTGTGAAGGGAGGCCTCCCTGCTGTCTGCGTGCAGTTTCAGGAAGAATACTGGTAAGTAAATGGGCTGATTTAAATAGAACAGTGATACAACTTTGGGTATTAACTTAGGGTGTGGTCATATGATTACTTTGTCTTTGAGAAATGTGGTGTAAGGTGGGTATGCCATCAGGGCACCTAGTTCTCCCACCCTTCTTGCTGATGTGATGGCTACTAGGAAGGCCACCTTCATAGATAAGCGCAACAACGAACAGGTTACAAGTGGTTCAAACAGTTTGCCCATGAGAACAAGGTTGAGGTCCCACATAGGGGTCAGGTCTCCTAGTGTGGGATAGGTGTTATCTATGCCTTTAAGGAATCGTTTAGTCAACGGATGAGCAAATATGGTGAATACATCCGCCTTGGTGTGGAAGGAGGTGAGGGCAGCCAGGTGTACTCTGAGTGAGCTGGTGGATAACCCAGATTTTTTAAGTGCCAGTATATAATCGAGGATACGGGGTAGTGGGGCTGATTGTGGAATAATATGATTGTCTTGGGACCAAGTACAGAATCGGTTCTACTTATGCGTGTACGTCTTGTAGTTAGTCTGCAGCTGTTCAGCAGTATGTCTTGTACTTCACTAGAACATTACGTCTCAAGCCCCTTCATCCATGGAGTAACCAGGCCTTGAAGTGGAGTACGGCAATGTTGCGGTGATAGATACGTCCCGCATCCTGTGTCAGCAGATGAGGCACTAGTGGAAGGGCTTGTGATGGTTTCACTGCCATCTGTCTCAGGTATGGAAACCATGTTTGTCTGGCCCATGTCAGTGCAATGAGAATGACCCTGGATTTGTCTTGCCTGATCTTGTGAAGGACACGACTCAGTAGTGGGATTGGAGGGAAGGCATACAGCACTGGAGCTTCTCATTTCAGAAGGAAGGCATCGCCCTAGGAGTTGTGCCCCACTCCAGCCCGAGATCAATACTGAGGACACTTGGCATTGTGAGCAGTAGCAAAGAGGTCTATGGTGGGAAATCCCTATTTTTTGAATATGGCTTTGAGGATTTCGGGATTCATTTCCCTCTCGTGGGTTTGAGAGAAGTCTCTGCTTAGTTGATCTGCTGTTGCATTCTGACTTCCAAGCAAATAGGATGCCAGAATGTCTATGCTGTTGGTGATGCACCACTGCGAGAGACCAACTGCTTCTGAACAGAGGGGATATGATCAAGCCCCCCTTGGCAGTTTATATAGAACATGTTTGCTAGATTGTCCATAAGAATCTTGACGGTCTTATTGTGAATTAGAGGAAGAAAGTGCTGATAAGCATTTCAGACTGCCCTTAGCTCCAGTAAGTTTATGTGGAGATTGGATTCTGCTAGGGACCAGCGACCCTGGATGGTATTGTCACATAAGCGTTCCCCCCAACCCAGAAGGAAAGCCTCTGTGGTGATAGTCACAGATGGAACTTTTTGTAGGAAGGGGATACCTGAGCAGACGTTGGTAGGGTTCCCCCCCCCCATATAAGCAAGTCCTTTACTCTGCAAGACATCATGAGATATCTGTTGAGGGAGTGTCTGTGCAGACCATAGATAGTACGGACCCAGGCCTGTAAACATCTCATGTGGAGCCTGGCATATTTTACAACAAAGGTTGTAGCGCTATGTGCCCCAAAATTGTAAGCACATTCTGGCGGATATTTGTGGGCTGTCCCTCAGTGTTGTAATTAGACTGGTTAAGGTGAGGAAGCATTGGGGTAATCTCACTGTTACATTGATACAGTCAAGATGTGCCCCTATAAACTCCAACTGTTGGGTAGGTATCATAGTGGACTTCTGAAGATTCATTTGTAAGCCCAGGGCCATAAAAAGGGTTATTGTTGTGTGAATGGCATTGGTCGCCGCCTGCTGGTGCCTTTAGAAGACAGTCTAAATATGGAAAGATCATCACCCCCGCCTGCAGAGGTGAGCAGCCATGACGGTAAGAACTTTGGAAAAGAGCGTTGGGGTGGTGGACAGGCCGAAAGGAAGCAGTCTTTATTGGAAATGTTGTTTCCCTAGGGTGAAGTGCAGGAATCATCTGTGCGCCAGGTGGACGGTAACATAAAAGTAAGCGTCTTACAGGTCGAGGGCCAAGAGTCAATCTTCTTTCTCCAATGTCGGGATTATTGTGGATAGAGTCACCATTGTCGTGTTCTCATGAACTTGTTGAGTTTCCGTTGATTGGGCCTCCACTCCCCCC